TCTCTTTTTTTCTTCCTTAGTGTGGCTAGGGGTTTATCAATTTTATTTATTTTTTCAAAGAACCAACTTTTTGTTTTGTCAATTTTTTCAATTGCTCCTTTTGTTTCAATTTCATTGATTTAAGCTCTGATTTTTATTATATCCTGTTTTCTATTGTTTTTGATGTTGATTCGTTTTTCCTTTTCTTGGGCTTTTCGTGTAATGTTAGTTCATTTATTTGTTGACTTTCTATTCTTTTAATGAATGAGCTCAGTGCAATGAACTTTCCTCTTCCCCCTGCCTTCATGATGTCTCAGAGATTTTGTTATGTTGTATCACTATTCTCATTTACCTCTAAGTATTTTTTTAATTTAATCTCTGATTTCTTCTGTTATCTATTCATCATTCAATATTATATTATTTAGTCTCCAGGTGTTACAGTAGCTTCTATTTTTTATTCTATGATTGATCTTTAATTTTATTCCATTATGATCTGATGGACTGCAGGGCATTATCTCTATTTTTTTTTGTATTTACTAAGAGTTGCCTTATGGCATAATATAGGGTCTATTTTAGAGAAGGATCCATGTTCTGCTGAGAAAAAAGAGTATTTGCTCATTTATGGATAAAATATTCTATATATGTCTGTTAAGTCTAAATTATTGATTGTATTGTTTAGATCTAGACTTTCTTTGTTTAGTTTTTGTTTGGAAGATCTATCCAGTAGTGAGAGAGGAGTGTTTAAGTCTCCCAGTATTATTGTGTTGTGGTCTAGCCGAGTCTTAAAGTTGAGAAGGGTTTGTTTGATGTACATAGATGCTCCATTGTTTGGGGCATAAATATTTATAATTGTATGTCTTGTTGATATATAATTCCCTAAAGCAGTATAAAATGTCCTTCTTTCGTCCTCCTGATTAACTTTGGCTTGAAGTCCACTTTATCTGATAGGAGGATAGAAATCCCTGCTTGTTTACATGATCCATGTGAGTGATATGTTTTTTCCCATCCTTTCACCTTCGGTCTGTGGATGTCTTTGCCTATGAGGTGAGTCTCTTGGAGACCGCATATTGTTGGGCCTTATTTTTTAATCCAATCTGCCAGTCTACCTATGTCTTTTGATTAATGAGTTTAGGCCATTGACATTCAAGGTTATTATTGAGATGTGATTTGTGTTCTCAGTCATTTTGGTTTATTTCTGATTTTTAATTTGACTTAGTTTCTCCTTTGGTTGACTTTTCCTTTAGCTCTTGTCTATTCTTTTGTTCCTCTCTTTACTGGTTTTCACTTTTTTTTCTCACTTCATCCTCATGGAATATTTTGTTGAGAATGTTCTGTGGTTCTTGCTTTCTACTTGTGAATTCTTTTAACTTTTGTTTATCTTGAGAGGTTATTTCATCTTCAAATATGAAACTTAATTTTGCTGGATATAAAATTTTGGGTTGGCATTCATTTTCTTTCAGAGCTTTAAATATATGATTCCAGGACTTCCTAGCTTTGAGGGTCTGGGTTGAGAAATCATTTGAGATCCGAATTGGTTTTCCCTATATGTAATTTGATTTTTTTCTCCCACGGTCTTTAAGATATTATCTTTATTCTGTATTCTCATTATAATGCATCTTAATGTGGGTCTGCTGTAATTTTGTACATTTGGGGTTCTGTAAGCCTCTTGTATTTGATTTTCCACTTCATTTTTTAGTTTTGGGAAATTTTCTGATATTATATCATTGAAAAGATTGTGCATTCCTTTTGTTTGTATCTCTACTACTTCATCTATCCTGATAACTCTTAAATTTGGTCTTTTCATGTTATCCCATAATTCTTGGATGTTCTGTTCATGGTTTCTTATCATCTGCTCTGTATGGTCAACTCTATTTTCAAGAGTATACATTTTGTCTTCTTTGCCTGAGGTTCTGTCTTCCAAGTGGTCTAGTCTGTTGGTGATGCTTTCTATTAAGTTTAAAATTTAGTTTATTGATTCCTTTATTTAGAGGACTTATGCTTGTTTTTTTTCCCACACAATCTCTAACTCTTTTTGGAAGTGTTCTTTTACTTCCTGTGGTTTCTTTTCCTTTGATTTCACTCCTTATACTATCCTTAGTTCACAAATCAGTTTAACTATATATAGTCTAAACTCCTTCTCTGACATTTCTTCAACTGTGTTGTCTTGATTCTGTCATTAGAACATCTTGGTTTGTTTGGGGCATTTTATTCCCTTGTTTTTTCATGTTGTTCATGTGTTTTCCCATCTAGTAGTACGGATCTCAGGCCACATAAATTCTACCATGCAGACTTATAATGTCCCTGAAGGTTTCCAGCACTTCGCCTTCAAGGGGGGAGACCAACATCAACAGCACCTAATGCAAACAACACACAGCCCCAAACCCACTAACTAGATCCTGTCAAGACTTCCACAGTTTTCTTGCAACAGAGACCGATGAGTTCAATTACTGTCCATACTATATACAGCAAATTTGCCAAAACGGTTCACAATTCCAAATGTTGGATAAAGAGAAAACAGAAGTGTGCAGAATATGATGTTCATGAGGAAGGGAGAAGGAAGACAGAAGCAAAAATCTACAGTAAGAATGGATAAGGAATTGACAGAGACTGACGGTTAGCTGGAGAAAAGATAGAGAATCCAGGGGCTGGGGATGTGGCTCAAGCAGTAGCGCACTCGCCTGGCATGCGTGCGGCCCGGGTTCGATTCTCAGCACCACATACAAACAAAGATGTTGTGTCCGCCAATAACTAAAAAATAAATATTAAAAAAAAAAGATAGAGAATCCAGAAAAACAGACAAGCAAAAGGAAAAATATATACAATTAAAAACTTAAAATGTAAGAATACATAAAAAAACTGCAAAACACCATCCATACACCACAGTCCTCAACAAACTGATGTCTGAAAAATACCCAATCCCCAAAACAGTAGAGATGCTAGAGAAGAGAAATATATATATATATATATTTAAAAATAAAAACAAAAGAAAGAAAAAAAATTCAATGGAAAACTGAAAAACTGTTTGCGTCAAGTTGAAAGTTTTCTCAGTCCCGTCTCTGATTCTTCATCATGCGACTGCCAGACCCAGATGGGCCTATGAAGACCCCCTCACTATCATGCTGATCTGGGTTTCAGATACCCCAGGCTTGGTCACATTGCAGTCCCAAGATCTCAATCCTGTTCCAGTTTGCAGAGAGATCACCAGGGATGCGCTCACATAGAAGAGTGACCCTGAAAAGAAGCTGCAAGATGGCGGTCACCAGCTCTCCCAATGGAAGACTCTAGGCGCAGCCAATTTTGCAGACACCCTGATACTGGACATCCAGGTCCCAGCCAGTGTCCCCAAACAGAGGCAGCTGTATCCCGAGATGGCAGTGGTGGCAAACCTGCTGTCACCCTGCCCCCACCCCCAGGCACTGGCCAGTGTCCCAAGGGAGCTGGCTGTGTGTAACCAAACCTTGCAGTCACTCTGTCAGTGGACCTCTGGGCAGCAGTAGCAGCGGGAGATGGGTCGTCGGCAGCAGCACAGGTAGTAGTGGCACCCGGAGAAAAGACCTCCAGGCCACAGTAGCAGTGGCTTTGGGGGACAGTGGAGTAGATAGCAGCTGTGCCCAGAGAGAAGACCTCTGGGTGACAGTAGCAGTGGTGTGGGGGACAGCAGAGTAGGCGGTAGCCACACCCAGGGAAAGGACCTCCAGGAGTGGTGGCAGCTGCAGCAGCTGCACTAGGAGAAATGACTTCTGGTGACTGTAGCCGAGGCAACTGGGGTATAGGAAGTGGGGGAGGCATCTGCCCTTTTTAAATTTTTTAAACAAAAAGATGATGCTCTGTGTCTCCTGCGCTTTCCAGCAAAGGCAGGGGTCTGTGAATAGTGTGCTATCTGCAGGAGCTCTCCAGGAAGGTGGGCGCACTCCATCTCTCCATAGTAATGGAGATGTGCTCCTGTTTTATTTCATGTCAATTATTTGGGGTTGTTGTTTCTCTGTGGAAAAGGGGTGGGGGGCATTGTGAAATCAAGGCAGGTTGTGCATCAGCTTAAAACACTGATCATCATTTCCTTGTTAGTCAATCTGCAATCAGACATCTCCTGTGTATCTGTAATTATTTAAAAAAATAAGACCTGTTGAGACATATGTTATGTTGCATAACATGAATGTAGTACAATATATACTATATGTAATATCATAACTCTATATTAGGTATATAGTCAGAAAAAAATATTTTCTTCTTTGTATTTTTATATCTTTATTTTATTTATTTATTTTTATGTGATGCTGTAGATCGAACCCAGTGCCTCACACCTCACACGTGCTAGGCAAGCGCTCTACCGCTGAACCAGAGCCCCAGTCTCTTCTTCTTTGTATTTTTGAAAACATTTTTAGTTGACAAAAATTGAATATATACACATATATACATATGATATACAGCATGATGTTTTGAAATACGAATACACTGTGGAGTGGCTAACTCAAGCTAATTAGCATGCATATTACTTTGCATGTAATATACATGTTAATTAGTTCAATTATTTTTTGGTATTTTTATTTTTGTGTTGGGTATACTTAAAATCTACCTTCTGCATGACTTTTCAAGTATATAATACATTGTTATCGATCATAGTCACCATGTCCTGGAATAGGTCTCTTGAATACTCCTCCTGTCTAACTGAAATTTGTACCCTTTGACTAAGATCACCCTAACCTGACCCAGCCCCCGGTAACCACATTCTCCTCTGATTCTGTGTGTTTGCCTTTTCATGTTCCACACAGAGGGGAGATCGTGCTGTATTTGTCTTTCTGTGCCAGGCTTATTTCACTCCATATCATTTTGAACACTAGCAAGGTGGCCGAGTGGAGCCTGGTGAGAGGGAGGCGGTGTAGTGGCCCAGGGCGATGACTTAGGGGCCGGGCCACAGAGCTGCTGAGTGGGCTGGACATCCAGACTGTGCCTCACTTCCCAGGGTGGGTGTCAGAGGAGCCCAGGGGACTCCAGTGAGACCTGTCTGTACCTTCACTCCTCAGCCTCCCCAGTGATTGAAAACGGCCAGCTGGAATGTCCCCAGGGGTACAAGAGACTGAACCTCACTCACTGCCAAGGTAAGAATGACCCAGGCCAGGCTGGGCTGAAGTGGAAATGACCGGGCCTGCTCTGGGGGAGGCAGCACCCCCCCGGCCCCAGAAGGAGGAGTGTCTGTCACTTCCTGGATGGCCTCCACTGGCACCAGCTTGGGGAACCTATTGGGGCTGCTGGTTCTAGAGGCCAAAGGAGGCCAGGGACATTTGAGAGAGTCAAACTCCCTTCCTCCTTCCCATCTTCACCCTGCCCACCCAGAACATGGCCAGGTACCCCCCTGGGGCTGTGAGTGCTTCCTGGAAAGGGAGGAATTTCTACTGAGGCAAGAGGTGGAGTCAGCCTGAGCTGGTGGGGATTGTGAGATTTTCCCAACAAGGAACCTTTAGCTGCTCAGGCCTCTTTCCCACCTGCCTCACCCCACAGCCAGGAAGAGGAAAGAAGGTGGTACAGGTGGCCTCGGTGGGGCCCAGCCCAGCCCTGCCCTAGTCAGGCTGATGGGCTCTGTGGGCCAGCTGAGGCTGAGGTGTTGGCATTATAGAATCCACAGAGGAGCCAGGCCCCTGGGCACCTTGGGACAAAGGGTGAAGGAGGGGCTCAGTATTGGCTTTGTCACTACTGGAAGTTAAAGGAGGGTGAGAAGTGGGACCTGGATGGCCAAGGGGCTAGAAGCCTTCACTGAGGGGAAACTACTACCACTGAGCAGAATCGGTCTCTGAGTGGGGGCCCTACTGAGATGTGGGCCTGTGATCTGAGCAGATGCCTCCTGCCAATGAGAGGCTGCTGGGGCTGGTGAGGTCAGCGGGGAGTCCAGGCAACTTCATTTTGGAGAGCTTGGACAACTGGGCAAGTGGTCTGCATGGTTTGCTTTGGAGAAAGAGGGTTAGAGTCAGGTGATTGCCCAGATTGCTACCCTAGATCCCCTAGATCTCTCTTCAGGAGGGAAGAGCCCTAGGAAGCCTGGGTGACAGGCTGTCTACTTGTGGGTACAGGCTAGAGAAGGAATTTCTGGCACGAGGATAAGAAAAGGTGCTTGGACTAGGCAAAAGGGAAGGCCTCTGGCCCAGCCTAGCTCAGGGTCAGACTTTCTCCAAGACAGTGGGCTAAGGGCCTAGTGAACAGCAGGTGCAGGGAGGGCTCTGTATTTTTGCCCTTGGTGGTACAATAGGACTGTTCACGTCTAAACAATTCCCAGCATCCTCTCCTGCTAGTTTACCAGTCTGGGGTTTTATGTTTTATGACTATTCTCAGATTCTCAATGAGCTTTCTTCCCTTCCCCACACCACCCTCTTTTTTTTTTCAATTTTTAAAAAATTGTTGATGGACACAATTCATATATGTATTTATTCATTTACCACTGAGCCACAACCCCAGCCCCTTTCCCTCCCTTTTTAGAGCTCCTTTTTAGAGCTGGATACAGGATACCAAGCCCCTCCCCCACAGTCCTGTCCCCTCAGCCAATCCTGGTCCCCAAGTCTGGGGAGGAACCCGCCTATCCCTGCACCCACAGGCCCCATCCCTCCTCTCTATTTTCATTCCTATTTCCAAAGAATATGAGAGTGAGTCCTGTGAGCAATATCACTGTGCTAGTGGCTAAATACACAGTAATAGGCAAGACCCAATCCCTGCCTCAGGTAAAGACGGCCCCCTAAACAAATTACAAATGAGAGAAGGTTCTTGATGGGTGCCATGGGATCCAGTGGTGGATTCCTATCCCAGACTGGGAGGATCAGGGAGAAGTGGTACCCAAACCAAGACTTTAAAAATGAGCACAAGTTGGCCAGCTAAAGGGGGTGCAGACCTTCCAGGCAGAGGGAATAAGCACAGGGACAGTATGAGCTGGCTGGAGCGTCTGAGAGGTGCTGGGCTCCCAGCCTACGGAGGCACAGAAGGTAGGTAGCACAGGATCTCATCAGAACCACCTCCTCACCCACTGGCTTTGAAACATGGAAGAGAGCCTTAGATATCGTGTTATGGGCTAGGGGCTCCCTCTTAGAGTGACAAGGAGCCCAGAAGCTTCTCAAGTGAAGGAAGGCACATCAGGTTTGTGAGGAGATGTGTCACTCTGGACAATCTGGAAGCATGTGGATGGGTTTCCCTTCCCAGCTCTCAGTGATGTCTCCAGGTGCCTCTGCCCCAATGGGGTGTCCTACCAAGGCATGCTACCCCTTGGTGTCCTAATGGCGTCATCTTCTGGCCCCCTCTTCCTGTGCCAATTTTCCCAAACCTTCAAGTGAGCCAGTGACTCATGACTGGCTGCCTGGCTTATCACCTAGCCCCAGGTGGCTGGCCCTGGCCTTTCATGCTCAGCCTCTGTGCTGCTATCATGGTTCACAGAGGCACTGTCACCAAAATGTCCCCTGACTTCTTGGAGTGTGAGAGTTGAGACTTCCCCTTGGTAGGAAAAATATGCAGCCTGAGAAGTTCTAGACAGGATAGAGGAAGCGAATGCATCTTCTTGCCTGAGGAAGAGCACAAGCCCCCGTGGGTTTGGGGGTGTGCAGCCTGACTGAGGTGTTCACAAGGCCTGCAGACATGCCCTCCTAGCCCTCTGCCTCGGCTTACCCTTGCTGACCCTGCTCCTCCTTTCCCAGCCCCTTCAGCACTATGCCCTAGCCTCCTTCTTCCTGTTCCCTCCCTGCAGACAATTCCCCAGGGTCTTGGGCTCCACAGATGTGCTCCGGTCTCTCAAGGAAGAGAATAAATAAAAAAGGACTTGGCTGTCATTTATCTCTCCAACCCAGACAGTCCCCTTTTCTGTTTCCTCTGCGTGCCACTTACCAGAGTCACCAGGACTGAGGAGCCTCAGTTTCTTTATAAAATGAGGACACTTGGACCAACCTGGCAAATTGGTTTGTGAGAGTTAAATGGGATAGTGTACATCAAATACCCAGTGTACTCTGCAGCATGACAGCCATGCTCTAAACGTGAGCTCTTACTATTAGGACCATGCCAGTTATTGAACCAAGCAGCTTGCAATTTTTCTCTTATTTTATCCTCCCCAAAAAACTGCCTAGTAGTTATTCCCATTTTGCAAATGAAGAAACTGAGGCACAGACAGAAGCATAACACTTAAGAAATGGCAGCTCTGTTGCCATCTTGTTGTTCTATTTGGAGAAAGCATTCCTAGACCCCTGAGTAACCCCTCCCTGTTGTCAGGCCTCTGTGGGACAGGTGCTTGGTCTCTCCTCCATCCCTACAGATATCAATGAGTGCTTGACCCTGGGCCTGTGCAAGGACTCAGAGTGTGTGAACACCCGGGGCAGCTACCTGTGCACGTGCAGACCTGGCCTCATGCTGGATCCGTCGCGGAGCCGCTGTGTATGTGAGTGCTGGCAGGGACCAGGGGTGGGGGACACCCTCCAGGTGCACTGGCCAAACCCAGAGCAGTATATTTCCCTGGGCCCTGTCACCCTCTGCCGAGGGCCGGTGTCTGCTACTCAGCCTGGAGTTGGAGCAATGAATCAAACTGATTGGCCCATCCTGAGGGAATAGAGAGAGGTAGTTACTGACTCGAGTTCTGCCTTGAGCTTTCCTTCTGGGGCTTTGCAGGTTGGAATTCAGGTTTTCTATTTCTTATTTTTCCTCTCTGATTATTTCTGTCCCATGTGCTGCCCCATTGACTTTGGGATACACGTGTTACCCCTGTTGTAGCATTTGGTTGAGCCAAGGCTGCTTCTTCCAGCGCCTGAGCTTCGCAGCCTGGTCACGTGGCTAAGTGACCTTTCTTAAAGGACCATACACAGATCAGCGGTGCAGCTGACTGTTCCCTGGGCCTTTCCATAATCCTGTGGTCCCTTTTGAATGTCCATGAACATGTATATGTCATGAGTCATGAGCATTAACATATGCGGGCACACATGTACACACAGGCAGCTCTGTTTCCAGTTACCTCTGTAGTTTTCAGCAGGGAGGGACACAGGCTGGCAGCTCCTGCCCTACTTCCTAGTGGCAGAGCTGAAACACAACCCACAGGGGTTTTGTTGGGCAGGAAGGTCAGACCAGAGCTGAACAGACTGGTACTGACTGGCCCCTGGGATGCAGCCACTTCTGGCTCAGCAGGACTACCTGCAGCAGCCAACCCTTAGGTCTGCAAACTGCCTGGTACTGGGACTAGGAAGGCCACAGTGAGACTCTGGTGCCACCCAGAGGGAGCAGCCCATGGGAAGGGAGCTAGACCCAGTGCCTCCAGGTAGGAACCTTAGGAGACAGACCTGGAGAGTGAGGGAGCCCAGAAAGGGAGAGCACATCCTGCCACCCTCAGGAAACATCATAGGGGCAATGAGGACAGGTGATAAAAGCCCTGAGGGGCTTCCAACCCTTCCTTCTCCTCCACATCACTTAGGATTCCTTTATCAAGCACGTGTGTTCAACATCTAAGGTGACTTTTATTTATTAGTCCCAGAAAGAGACCCTTAATTCAGGGAAGCTCTTCATTTTCACTCCTCCTCAGTGTTACCCCTCCAGCCCCCTCCAGAGATTCCTCTCCCTGTGGGTGGGGGTGGCGGGATGTTTCCCTCCCTCCTTTGCTGCACTTGAGCAGGGTCAGCAAAGCAGTCTACAGGGGCCGGTCCCCACTGGGGTCATCTCCCTCCTGAAACCCCATGGGACAGGACCCTTTCTTCCCAAAGGAGCAGGCTCTTAGAGACAGAAACTGCTCCTGAATATCCAGGGCTCGTGAACTGACAATTGACCTGTGTGTAGCATGTGATCTTGACAAGTCACTCTCACATACCTTGCTCCCATCTCTATGACACTGTAAAGGGTGTATTAGTCAAGATTCTCTGGGTTGCAGGCGACAGAAAACCAATACAAACCACCTTAAGTAAAACATAATTGATTGACAAAACTAGGAAGTGTTGGGGGCAAGTGTGGCCTCGCTGGTTGGATCTAGGCACTGCAGCATGTCCCTGTGGTTTCTTGTTCTCTTTCCTGGGTCAGTTTCATAGCTCCTTCAAAGTGGCTGCCAGATGCTATGGTAAACCACATTCTGTCTTGCAAACTCAATTTAAAAATGAGAACCTCTTTTCTAACAACCCAGGTAAAGTCCCATAGCTTATTATCTTTGGGCCTTCCGAGGCATGTGCCCATCCCTGGCTCAATCACTGACCAGGGGTATGGACTATGCCTCCTCAGCCAGGAAGAGGGCCAAAGCTGGGAATGGGGCAGTATCCGTAGAAACCAGGATGCTTATACCAGAATATGGGGCACAGACACTGGACAGGCAGAAACAGAGGTGCCCACTACCAAGGCACATCATTATCATCCTTATTTTATACATGCTAAAGCCAAGGCCAAGGGAGTTGTGTAGCTCAGTAGGCATAGGGATTTGAAGTTAGCCTGACCAAGGCACCCAGGATCATGGACTCCTCAGCCTTGACTGTTGTCCTCTTCCCCCTTCCTCCACTCACCCACAGAGAGTCTAGTCTGTCCTTTAATGAATCAAATCTCTTACAACCTGGCATGGCCTCCACATCTTCCACTGAGATAATATATCAGAGACTATTCTTCAGTATTTACTGTCAAAGTACAAGAAAGGGGGACACATGGGGACTTTAGTAAATACTGGAAAGCAGCAACTGGAGACAAGAAGCTTCATTCTTACTCCACGTGAGGAGAGAGAGCCCAGAACCTCACCAACTGGACAGCGTGAGGAGACTCAGAAGTATTCTGCTCAGGCATTCCTCCCAAAGTTCTTGGGAGCATTTATCAGGGTCCCCAGTTTCCAGACTGAGACATAGGCCAGGCTAGTCTGAGCACATGAAGCCAGACACACTTCTATCCATGGCCCTCAGTCTGCACTTTGCCCCTCCCTCTGGCCACCTGCCATCACCATGGGTTGTGTCTGTTGCAGCGGACAAGGCTGTCTCCATGCAGCAGGGACTGTGCTACCGCTCCCTGGGGCCTGCCACCTGCACCCTGCCTCTGGCCCAGAAGATCACCAAGCAGATATGCTGCTGCAGCCGTGTGGGCAAAGCATGGGGCAGCAAGTGTGAGAAGTGTCCCCTGCCTGGCACAGGTAACCCCCTGTCCCCATCCCAGCTCTGGCTATCAAGGGGCTTCTTCAAAGTCAGTGACCGTTTCCCCAGCCTGGGTAGACCCCCTCAGGCCAGAAGACTCTTAGTCTTCCCTTTCTGCTTAAGTGCTTGTCCCAGCCTGGAGCTTCCTCCTTCCTTGCTGCCACAGTTGTCCCATACAGGGAGGGAGGGGGAGGGGCCTGGTTTCCTGCAGGAACTGTGTCACTCAGCTTGTCCTCTGGTGCTGGCTTTGCAGAGGCCTTCAGGGAAATCTGCCCTGCTGGCCATGGCTACACCTACTCAAGCTCAGACATCCGCCTGTCCATGAGGAAAGCTGAGGAGGAGGAGCTGGCCGGACCCTCGAGGGAGCAAAGGCCCCTGCCCCAGCCAGCAGAGAGGCAGTCACTCCGGGCAGCCACCGACACCTGGCTTGAAGCTGGGACCATCCCTGACAAGGGTATCTAGAGTGCAGGAGATATTCCCCTTTCCTCTAAGTTTTCAGCACCTCGAAGAAGCTTGAAGTGTTTATCCTGTGTTCCTGGGGTCCCATTTCTGGGGCATTAGGAAAGGGAACATGAAGCAGCAGTATGCAGCCCTGGGAGCCTTCTCTCGTGGCCTGGCTTGACCAGAAGGCCTCATCCCCTTCCTTTCCTGTGTGGGGTCAAGAAGTGCCACATCCCAGAAGTGGGAGAGGTCTGCAGCAATACTTCCCCTGCTGACCGAGCCTCTCAATCCCCTGCCCAGCTATCCAGATTTTGAATCTGGTGGTCACTGCACTTGCAAGTGAATCCTGGAGCACCTGTAGGCTTTTGGTCCCCTGCCCTGACCTTAGGGTCAGAGCACTAATTCCAGCTCAGTTGCCTAGGACTCAGAAGGTGCCCGGCCAGAAAAAGCCTGGGTCTGAAGCTCCTTGGCAGGTGCTATGGAAAACCATGAAGTCATGCCCAGGTTACTAAGCAACACTGAATTCAGGAGGCCGTGAGTGTATTAGGAACAAGCCAACTGTGCAATCACCAAAATGGGCCCAGGAATCTGGAACAGACAGGACAGGGAGGACAGAGCCCCTGTTGTCATGAACACGAGCACTGGCCAAACCTGGGGCAACTCCTCTCCATCTAGCCCTGTTCCCTGGCCCTTCGCCCAAGGTAGGGGGCTGAGTGACCCATGTGGCCAGAAGGAGATGACAGCTCAAGGAGGTGGGTCACAGGACTGATAGGGTGGACTGGCCTGGAGGGGTAGGACTTTCTGGTCACTGGAGGCCTTAAAGTAAATCAGAAGACTTCCCTTCACCAAGCAAGAGGCTGAGCTGGGCTACTTGCAGACTTGGACTTCTATGATGATCAGTCCCAGTGGGTAGGAAGGGCAGGCAGAGGCAGGTAAGAAGAGTCGATCTGCTGCTCATCCTCTGGGGACAGGATCAGGGGTGCAGACTGTGAAGCAGCCAGGCCACAGGTGAAGGGCTGAGAGCTGCTACTACTTTTCCCTAAGCTCATGTTCTAACCTTTCCCTCCCCAGGTGAATCTCAGGCTGGCCAGGTGAGTAAGTCCTCCTACCAGGGAGGGGGTAAAAGTGGTAGAAAGTGGGAACTGGAAGCCACTAGGGCCCCAGGGAAGTGTCCCATGAAGAAGGAAAAGTAGAAGGATAGACTATTCTTCCAAGGACAGACTCTCCTCTCCACATCGTATTTTACTTGGGGAGATGATGAAGTGGCAGGGAGGGGGAGAGGTGCTGATCCTAAGACCCCATTGTCCCCTCATGGCAGTGATAAAAACAGCCCTGGTTATGGAGCAGCCTGTGTAAGCACCCTCTGACGGGGATGGTCTGGCCATTCAGGAAGTTTGAAGGGACTGTGCCATTCTAGTGTTCAGTGCCACGTATGAGATCCAGAGCTGGTTCCAGTTCATTCCAGATCTGGCACTTCCTGAGTCAGTTTAGCTTATACCTCAAGGTCTCTGTGGGTGGCTCACGGGGAAGTATAGGCACACTATGAAGAGTCTCAAATGGCCCCACAGAGAAGGGACATCCAACTCCCTTCCCTGGGCCCAGAATTCCTCTGTGCTCCCAGGACTGGGCATCCTTCTAGAAACCATTCTAGAAGCAGAAGTGGGCATGCTTCAGCCTTTGCCAGGCTGCCAATCCCTACTATTCCCCTTACCTGCAACCTGCATACTTGACGTCCCCCAATACTGTGTCTCTTGTGTGCTTGTGCTCCACCAGGAGCACCATAGGCTGTCCTCCCAGAACAAGGCTTTCCTTCCTTGCCCTCACAGTCCCAGTTATATCCCAGCCTTCTTTATCCTCCCCTTCTCCACTGCTTAGCTGCCTCTGTCCACAGCTGCTGTGGGGGACACCAGGTGTGGCCCTGGGTTCCAGCTTCACCACACTGGTCCGGTGACCCTGGATGCTCTAGTTTACCTCTCCAGCCTCTATCACTGTGTCTGTGATGTGGGTATCATAGCCTTGATACCATACCTACTGATGTTCTGCCATGTGCCAACACTGAGCGGGCACAAAACATACATGAGCTTGTTTAGTCAAGCTACCATCATTAGGCAGTTGAGCAGATTAATTAAAAGCTTAGATAAAAGTGCCCACCAGGATGCCAGGCACACAGGAAGAGCTCATCACCACCTAAATGAATGAAAGGGAAGGAGCGGGCAGGAAGCCTAGGTGGAGTAAGTGTGGGGGGAGCTTACGTGTCATGCAAATGACAGAGGAATCCAAAGTGACCTTCTATTTTCATACAGATAACAACCAATGTCACCTACTTACCTGCCTGGATCCCAGGTGAGTCCCTCCTCCTAGAAGCTCCTGGGAAAAAGAGAAGGGAAGGAAAGGGAGATCTTAGTTTAGTGGAGTTACATGAGCTGGTCCATGGGGCTCACATTGGAGGAAGTCACAAATGATAGTGGCATATACACACTCTGGGAGCCCTAAACAACTGTGGGATTGGCAAGAGACCCTGTGATGCTGTGTAAACATTTCCCTATCCACCTCACTCTGAATCTCATGGTGCCATTTAGTGTGTAAACCAGGCCAAAGAGGAGGCACTAGCTGAAACAGGGGTTGGCTGGGTCCCCAGAATCTCTCCCCAGGGGCCTTGTCTTGCCTCCTGAAACTGTGGGTCTGCCTCTCACTGGAGCTGTGCTCAGAAACCAGGAAGCTGAGTTTCTGCCCATAAAATGGACATTGCCACCTGCCCTGCTGTGTCAGGCAGTGGGTGTTGATATTTGCGATAGAGTTCTGTAAACACTGAAATGCTTTGCAAAATTGAAGTGCTTCAGTTCTGCCTCTATTAAATTGGCTCACTTTGGACAAGGGGCCATTTTTGTACACCCTTAGTCTCCTTTCCTAAAATGGAGGGTGAGACTGAATGCATGTTAGAATTCTCTAACTCTATATAGTGCCAGGTCAGGTTTCAAGAGACTGGGAGGCACAAGGGGTGACCCACCTAGGCTCTAGGTTCTTGTGAGTCTGAACAACAGGAAGGAGGGAAGAGTCAGTGCCAGCCTGGGGGCCATGTTCCCATCTGCCTTCTGTAGGTGATGACATCAGAAGACCAACACCACCACTGCCTGGACAAGGGATTCCAGAGACCTGGGAAGAGGAGCAAGTGACCCCCTCCACTGTTGTGCAAGTGACCCTGGCCCCCCCAGGTAGCTCTAGCAGTCCTTGAAGCTCTAGGCCCCAACCCTGGGAGCTGTGACTGTTCAGAGCTGACTCCAGGGTAGGGGCATCTCCAATCAGTTGAACAGTCTCCAGTGGACTCTGTCCAGGCTTTGTGGCCTGCCTCATTTTATAAAGAGCACAGGGTCCCCCTAGTGAACAGGGGCCCTCCCTGGGACACTGCTCAAGCCCAGGATGGGGAAGGGAAGGGATGCAGGGTATTGGGGAGGCTTACTCAAAGGCCTCCAGGAAAATCAGGGTACCCTCTTGAGGGGGGCTCATGGAGCAGGAGCGGGCTGCCTGCCCCCAGGGAGAGCCATTTCAGGAAGGAACCAAGTTCTGTTACCCAAGGTTGTCTAAGTGCCAAGAGCAGGCAGTCTGCTTGCTCCCTCTGGTCAGCTATGGTGAGAGGCGGGTGTGGGGGAGATCCCTGGCAAATCCACCTTGCTCTGGAATGCACCCTCCTCAAAGATCCATTTTCTGGGGACTTGTTTCAAGAGAAGCCAGACTGGTAGTGTTGCAGCTGCTCCCTGTGCACATGTGTGCCCTGGAGCCTGCCCTCTCTAGAGGCTGGCTGTGTTCTTAGCCTCAGGGACTGAGATCCAGAGACTAATCATCTAGAGTAGGAGGCAGGGTGGCCACAGCCCTGGACTTCCTTCAGCAAAGGGAAAGATCCTGTAGCCTGAGGAAACAGTCTAGAGAGTCAGGAGTGGAGTGGGGTTTGGACTTTCCCAGGGTCCCCTGCTTACTCCCCCTCAGCTCAGCTCCACAGACCTTGATGTGATGTACCCGGTGAGGGACTCAGCTGGGAGTGCTGAGTCTCTGACAAAAAAAGAAGGTCTGGAGGAAGGGATACAGGGAAGCTGGGCCAGGCTCAGCAGTGTCTCTCAACAATGTGTGTAACAAAGCCCCACCTCAGCCTTTTACCTAATTCCCCCTTCTCCCCTGCCATCCCCTAACCTCACCCTCTGGGCAGCATATAGAACCTGGCTTGGGACCCCCACAGGTCCCCAGAGGGGCACAAACTTGTCGCTAGGCCCAGGAAAAGGTAGCCAGTATATACATTGGGTTTAGTTCAGTTTAGCAAATACTGTGAAGCCCTCTGTGTCCACACACAGGTCACTTCCCATCCATTTCCTTAGAGATCCAGGGCTTTCTCAGAGTGGTAGGGGCAGGCAGGGAGCCCTAGGTGTGTGGGCTTCAGGCTAAGACCCCAAGGCAGATGCAGATGCTGAAAGCCTCATTCATCCATTCATTCATCCATTCACTCATTTGACACACTGTCAGTGCAAGGTGCTTCTCTAGTATTAGGGATACAATTAAAAAAAACTATTCTCTGCCGTCTCTGCAGCCTCCGCCCTGGAGTCTGCCCTCCAAACAGCTTCCTAACTTAGCGCCTATCTCCCTACTTTTTACCCTGTTAGTGTCACCCAAGACATTTCCTCATTTCAATGATTTTGGCCTGTTTCTAGGAGCTCTCCGGGCCCCCCAACCAGTCTGTCTGCCTCTTGCTTCCTGAGTGACCTGAGACAGCTCTGATCACAACCCTTTCCATGTTGTCCTTGCTCACACATCAGGCTCAGGGCATCCTAGACCCTATTCAAAAAGCCCAGCCCTCCTCTCCCATTCTCCCCCAGTGCTTTCCCCTATGCGCTCTACTCAACAGATCTGTCTGGGCTGGATTTGCCAGGGACAGCAGCCCTGGGCACTGTAGATGAGAGCCACCCACTTTCAGGGGAGGTCGGGCTGATGGCTCAGCAGTCTTCCCAGCTGTTCGTCAGTAATTAGAACTGATCCCTGTAGGCCAGGGGATCGCACTACTGTGAACTCCATCCTGGATAGGGTATAGGGACCCAGCAGAGGCCCATCTTGGATAGGGTGCAGGATCCAGCAGAGGCCCCATGGGTCTTACATGAAGCCATGATACACATGGATATGGGGGGCCTGGCAAAGGTGGGATGGACTTCTGTTGGTCATCCGAGACCCTGAAACCCTTTCCCCCAGGCGCTCCTTACCCCACTTCACTGCCTCCCACCCCACTCCTCTGCTCTGTCTCCTGTAGGCATTGATAGATGTGCTGCTGGAGCCACTAACATCTGTGGCCCTGGAACCTGTGAGAATCTCCCAGATGGATACAGATGTGTCTGCAACCCTGGCTTCCAGCTGCACCCCAGCCAGGCCTACTGCACAGGTATTTACCTGGGTGTCCTGCACCTTCTTAGCGGCCAGGGTAGATGGGAGCAGGGACTAGGGGATGGAGTCCAGAGTCCAAGCAGTGTACAAGCAGTGCCGTGTGGTTGAAGAGTTAGAAGCACAGTTGCTTTGGACAAAGCTAACTTGACCTTTTGGAGAAGACCAGTCCATGAGCCCCATCCAATGATTCTCCAGCCCCAGGAGAGTAGGAGGTACCCCAGCCAGTACCTGGCCACCCTCCCCTTAAACTAGCCATGTTGCTGCCTACAAAGCAGATCACTGTCACCACTGGGGCCATCTCTGGGTAAGATTGAGGCCAAGATAAATCATCAAGTGTGGGCCTCATTCCTCCCTCTACAATATTTTTGTGCAAAGGAGACACACACACTGTGGTCTTAAAGGAGAAAGAAAGTGATCATGGGCCACTGGGAGAAGGGGACAAAAGGCAGGGAGGAAGTGGAAGCAGTCACCCCAGCCCCTAGTGCCTGTGTGGACCTGATGGGCCAACCCTTTAGCTTTCAACCCAAAATAATTTCATTTCCCCATCCTTACCCTTTCCATGCCACATAGCACCCTCCCTAGTGTGGGCAGTTTGTTGGCAGATACTCAGAGAAAGACATGCTAGCCTCCCTGACCTTCCTCCCTCCCTCCTTCTGGTCAGATGACAACGAGTGTCTGAGGGACCCCTGTGCAGGGAAAGGGCGCTGTGTCAACAGCGTGGGCTCCTACTCCTGCTTCTGCTATCCCGGCTATACATTGGTCATCTCAGGGGCCACACAGGAGTGTCAAGGTAAGCCAAGCCTGCCCTGGCCCTGCTTTGGGTTGTGATGGGGGGAGGAGAATGAGTTTGTCTAGGCCCACACAGTGAGGAACCAGACATTCACAGCCCCCAGGCACAGTGCAGCAATGGGGTGGGCACGGGAGGCACAGGAAGAGAGATGGGGGTCTGGCCTGGAGCTGGGAGGAAGCTGCCCATACACAGGGATGGCAAGGAGGCAGTGTTTGCAGGCCTCAAGGAATTGTGCCTGGAGCCAAGAGGGGATCAGGACACTTGGCTGGAGATGGGGATCAAAACTCAGGTCTCTAAACCCTGAGTGACAAGGAGCTTTCATTTTAGGGAAGGGGGGCAGCCTGTGAGGATGCAGAGCTGGGACTCTGGGACTCTGTGAAGATGCAGGCTGAGAGCCTCTGAGAAAGGAGCTCAGGTCCCAGCAGCTTAGAGACACTGCAGGGCTTTGAGCTTCCCTGGAAAGAACTGCGCCACCACTAGGGAACCCTTGGTAACCACTCTTCAGTGCAGACCCTTTAATAATATAGAATACTCCCTGTCGCGTTCCTCATAACTAAAACAGGGGGTCACTCCAGGGGAACTGGGCTGTGCAAAATAACACACAAGAGACAGAGATATCTTTTTCTTTGGGGGTCCTGGTATCGCTCCTCTGACCTTAAGGGTCTGCAGAAAGAGAGAGAGCAGCACGTGCTGACCCTTTTATTGAGGAGAAGCCATTCAAATGAGGCAAGGGGTCAGGTTTCAGGGGTTGAGTCTAGCTTTATGATGTCTGCTGTCAGCAGGTTGAGTGACATTAAGGAAGGCCACACCCAAAGGCAGAGTAAGAAAAGGGGACACATAAAGTGTTTCCATGGAACGTTCTATCCCAAACAGGGCAAAGGGATAATATCACAAAGGAACAGGTGAGCATAGCTTAATCCATGGAGCAACATGCCTACGTCTGAAGACGCGTCCTCAAACTTCTGGGACTGGGGCAATGTCCAGGTCACTATGAGATGTAGTGAGGTCAGAGCCTCTCAGCTCAGGGAAGGAGAATGTGAAATCATTCAGACTGGCTGTCCACAATTCCCCATATATTTTTATGAATGAGTTCACAAAGGATATAAGGAAGCACTTTTCAGACAGCACCTTAAGATTATAACTGTTAGGAAGCCTTCATCTTGAGAATGGCACAGCCTCTTTTTGAAGCTCACATTGCTGGTTCTGACCAGGGAAGCCCAGTGGTCACTCACAGTCCCCCTGGGGTGCCTGAGGAAGCTGTGTATCCTTCCACTGCCAAGGTCCCCTTAGGTTCTGATCCCCCAAGAATCTTGTCTGCAAGATCCAAAGCCATCCAGCTTCTCTCACTTGATTGTGTTGGGGAATGGAGGAAGAGGGGACAGATCACCCAACTTCACAAAGAGTGGGAGAGTTCTATGCACCGTTCAGTGACACTCAAGCATGGAGCCCCTGGGTGCCAGGCACTGTGCTGAGCTGAGGATACTGAGATACATGAATGCGGGTGGCAACACTATGGACTCCAGAATAATAGGCAACTAGCTCTGTAGGAGAGAACTGGGGGAGACTTCCCCAATGGGGTACTTAACTGGGGTACAAAGATAATAACTGCCATTTAATGAGCACTTATTATATGCGAGCCCTATCCTAATTATTTTAGTTCATAAAACTCATCATGCCAACCCATATAGTCCTTAACCCCATTTTATTGTTTAGCAAGATGAGGTTTAGAGAGATGAATTGAAACACTCAGGGACCTCACACCTAGTTGTGGTTGAACTCAAAACAGAATCAAAGTCACTCCAGCTCCAAAGCATGATTTGCTTCCAATGACACACCCCCTTACATGAAGGGTGTTGGCCACCACTGTGAGCATGAAGAGGAATGGAGGGAGCATGAAGAGGAATGGAGGAAGCAGAAGTTATTCCAGGCAAAGGGAACCATGTCTATAGAGACCAGAGTAGTATTCCCTGGCACACCCTGGGAATAATGATCAAGTCAGTATGATTGGAGCGGGGTACACAGAGGAAGTGGCAGGAGTCAAGGCCAGTTTGGGAAGTGACTCAAGTGCCAGACTAAAGTGCTTGGACACTGTCCTGCGGGCAGTGGCAGCCAGGAGAGTGTGTAACAGAAGGTGGTGGTTGGGTCAGCTGGCTGTCAGGGAGGTGGCTCAGGCAGTAGTGCTTCTCCAGGCTCCAGTGGCCTGGGCAGGTGTCGTAGCCAAAGAGGCTCTGCTCTCTGCAGACCCAGCTTGGAGAGCTGGCCCAGGATGAGCCCTGGCTGCCACAGGGAGCTGTGTCACCAGGACTGGCCCTGATGAGGCATGCTGCTTCGTGCCAACCCGGGTGTCCAGATGTCTCTGCCAGCCTCAGCAGCTGGGAGAGGGGGTGGGGCTTAAGGTCAGCTAAAGTCCCCCCACCCCCATGGGACTTGGCTGCCGCTTGAAGAGCTCTTATTCAGCATAACACTTCCTAAATTTTGCCAGTCTCATAAAGAAAGTAGTATCACATTATTTTAATGATTTCATTTCATATTGATTTTTATTTATGAATCAGTTAATTTATATACTTTATTAATAGAAGTCATCAACTTGTGTAAGATAATATAAGTAGAAATAACATGTTAATTAAATATTAAGTATTTACATAAACATTCTAAATAGTATTTATATTGCTCTTAAGCATGAGCATCTCCTTGTGCATTAGCCTTTGGGTCTCCTCATGTGTCAATGGCTTGTTCCTGGGGTGGTTGGTGGCTGTTTTTTCTTGTGGCTTCTTAGGAGCCTCTTCTCTATGCTAGGTGTTTGCCTGGGTTTAGATATTACAACTCTCATTTTGTTCTCTTTCTGCTAACCTTATCTACTTGTCCTTCTTTAAATATAAATCCTTAATTTTGATCTATCAAATTCACCTTTTTGCCTTGATTTTAATTTGCTTTGGAGATTTTATTGAAGAAGTCCTTTCTTTCTCTGAGGTCACAAAAATATGCTCCTACACTTTTTTTCATAAATGTTTTATCTTTACCTTTTACGGGACACCTTAATTTATCTGGGGTCCATCTTTACAAGACAGTCAAGAACATGCCCCTCCCCGCCCTTTTCCGTTTCCATTTTTCTTCATACAGAAATGACTTCAGACAGTGGTCCTAGCCCAACCTTGTTTAAGGGTTTTTTATCAAATTTCCACATATGGTTCTGCCTAAAAGTGTTCTTTTCTTTTCACTGGGATTAGAGCTTCTCAAAGTGAAGACCAGTTATTTACAAATGGCTGGAGAGTTTTTACTATGTAGGTTCCTGGGCCTGTTCTGCACTGCAGGGTCAGGGCCTGCAGATGGGAGCCTAGGAATACGCATGTGACACCTCTGTCAGCTCTTCTGCCAGACACTGGGGTTTTCTGAAGAACTGCTCAAATAAAAACACTGCCCCTAAACAAAGACTTATTATTGGGTTCCTTTATAAGCACTTACTGGGGTTCTGTACCGGGCTTGGAAGACGCCAAGATAATAACGCACATCCCCAATGGTTAGGGAGAAACAAGCCAGTCAGTGAACAGTTGTGCTAAGGTCTGAGTCCAAAGGGAAGCTTGGGAAAGAGCATACAGGCTGGAGAGGAGGGGTTGGGCTTGCCAAAAGATGAGTAGGAGATAGTCAAACTGGTGGGTGGAAGACCATTCCAGGCAAGCAAACAGCACAAGCAGAGGCTCAGAGGCAGGTCCCACGTGTCAGAAACCAGGAGGTGAAGAGACGAGAGGTGGAAACAAGGAGAGAAAGTGGGCGAGCGCCGAATCCTGGAAGATCTTACTTACCAGGCCAAGAAGCCTGGATTATGAGGTAGGCTTAATGCTGGAATAATAACGGCTAACATCTTCATGGTTACCACTGCCAGGTAGGCACTGTATTGAACACTTCACCTGGATTATCTCATTTCAGAAGGATCCTGTGGAGTATTTGAACCAGTGCTGGGGAGGAGCAGTGTGATTAATTTGACTGTGGGGGCAGGGAATGGGGAATGGTCCCAAGGACCCAGAATTGATGCATGAGTCACTGCTGGAATAGGAGTAGGAATCTGCTGGCAATGGATGAGAGGAAAGATGCTCCCAGCAGAGGCATTTATGTGAATGGAGACTCGGAGGTTGGGCTAGTGGAAATCTGCTAGGAATAAGGTTATACCGAGGGGTGTGTGCAAATTAGAAAACACAGTGAGGCCAGGCCAGGCTCGGGAGCCAGTCTGCCAGGGCTAGAGGGCTGGAGGTAGCAGGGAGCCCTGGGAAGGTATGTAATAGGGGAGTGGCAGACAAGGCTGGGGTTTAGAATCATCATGGCACACCAGTATGCTTTGGACAATGACATAAACCTCTCCTAACCTTTCAGAAAGTCCCCTAGGGGTAGCACAAATGGCTACTGTACTGGGGCCAGGAAGGGTGTGGTGTGTTGTTGGCCTCCTCAGATCATGCCATACAGACTGTCACTTGACTCAAGATCAGCCCTTGCATCAGGATGAGAAGATAGCTGAAGGGGTCTTCAGGGTCCCCCAAAGTAGCTACCCCATGGGAAAAAGGAGCTTAGGGGTCAGCAGGGGTCTGAGCAATCTCTGACCTGGCTCAGGAGCCCTCTGGGCCAGCATGGCTGCAGCTAGTGTGCCCCCTTCTGCTGGACCTTGGCATGGCATCCTTATCCTTAGCCTCTAGAAAGGATGCCTTGGGAACACCCCCTCCCCCCTCAGAGCTGCCTTTGACTCAGGGCCATCCTGTGTGTTTGCAGATATAGACGAGTGTGTGCAGTCATCAGTGTGCAGCGGAGGGCGGTGCAGCAACACGGAGGGGTCCTATCACTGTGAGTGTGATCAGGGCTACACCATGGTCAGGAAGGGACACTGTGAAGGTAAGGAATGGCGATATGGGGTCAGCCTGTTGCCCCACACACTGCTTATTACCAGCTCCTCTTCTAGCTTGTCTGCATGATGCTGAGCCCACGCCTATGGTCAGGAACATGTCTGTGAACTCCTGAGCCTTTCTATCCCTCAGTGACCTTTTACATCCCCCTGTAGCAAGAAGTGCAAATCTATATGACACTCAGGGAGCATCTCTGCACATCTCTGCCCTCTCACTTTGAAAAATGGCTCTCTCCACATGGCAGTGGAAGAATGGGTCTGTCTGGGAGCCTTTGTCTTCTTGCTAAATCTTAGACACCTTCTTTCCAGGCCAGGGTGTGAAATCCTTGCAGAAGGACTAGGTCTTATGCTCCTGAGACTGGTTAAAACACCAATAAATGAGGGTAAATCAAGGTTCTTTCTGTGAAAAACACTTCCCTGGACCCGAGCTTAGGCTGGGCCTTCCCAGGATTCCTGGGCCAGGACTTGTCTTATTTGGGAGGGTCCCGGAGTAAGGGAGAGCCCACCTTCCCAATGCCTTGAGAAGGGAGAGCCCACCTTCTCAATGCTACCACCATGGTATAAAACACAACTGTTTTCACCCCCAGTGTTACCTTCTTCTCTCGGTGCCTCCCTCTTTGAGCTCCTCTAAAACTCAGGCTTATGCATGATCAAAGCTGGAACTCACTCCCCTTGACCTCATTCTACCCAAGGAGACAGGACAATGGGGCATTTTCCAGGCAAATGGACAGTGAAGGTACCCATCACTGGATGGATGCCTGCTATATGCAGGGTGACTTACCGAGTGCTTGGTCGATAACCTTATTTAAGCATCACAACAATATCATGAATTTGATATTTGGGCTTATTAAAAAGAAAAGAAAAATTAAAGAAAATGAACCAAGAAAATACCAGAGCATTAAAAATATCAGATTTATACTAACCAGTCTGTCTTAAGGGCACAGGCTCTGGTGCAGACAGGCCTGGGTTTGGCTCTTGACTCATGTCTGGAAATGGAAACCGTCATGCACATCGCAGAGGCTCTGGTGAGGACCAGATAAGCTAATATTTACCAGGTGCTCAGTGCCATCTCTAGCACTTACAGACCCTCAGCAAATAGGGAAAACATTGCTACCTGAGAGCCCTGTACCTTTTCATGTTCAGATTTACTACCACCACCAATACCCTCCCCTGGAAAGCCTCCTTCCCATCCAGAGGAAAGATTCTAGACACACACCTCATGCGGAAGGTCAGGCTGAGTTCCTGGCCCGGGTAGATGCTCCAAGACTGTTGAAAGAAAGAATGATGTAGTCTGCACACTTCTCCAGGTTTCCACTAGTAACCACAGACCCGGCCCATCACCCCGGGAGCCCAGTCAATTTCCTCTCCCTCTTTCTTCTTTCTCCAACGAAGAAACCACTTTCTCCACTGAAACCCAAAGTCTCTGGTGAAAGGCTGAGTGGTCTGGACAGTGGCCCATGCAGTAGTCTCAATGGCATTTCCATCGTACCAGAACTCTGGGTTCCCACGGACAGGGAACAGATTCTCTTGCAGACTGCCAGGGCCTTTGCTATTCCCCACCCATATCCGAGGTCCCCTGAGCTTGTGGGCCCTGCCTAAGCATCCTCCCCCTCTCTACCCCATGCTTGCACAAGGAACAGAGCTGGTGCTTCTGTATCTCTTCATGCAAAGACTGACTTCTGGAAGAGAAGCTCAGGGGTCCTCCCAGTTCATAGACAGCAGACTGGCAAGCTGGTCTCTGGCATGACCATTTCCATGGGTCCCTGAGAATCTCCTCAATAGCCTTTTGCCCAGAGGATAATGGGCAAACTTTTCAGGCACATTGTCCCATTCTTTAGATGGCAAACATTTGTTGAGCACTCACTGCAGGCCAGCCATGGGCTGAGAATACAGCAATAAATAGATAGCTACCAAAACATGCTGCAATCTTAGATTAAAAATCTAAGACAGAAAAATCTGGACAGAAAAATCTCCACCCATGAGTGGCTTCGGTTCAGGGACTGACAGATTGGTGGAACAGCCTTAGGATATCTGGATATTAAGATATCCACTCCGTCCAGAATCTTCATCAGGTTCCTTTGGCTTGGCTTGGCTAATGGCTCAGTCATACCTACTCTGTGCTGGAGAGCCCTTCTGTGGCTCAAGTGGAGACTGAGGGGCTCCCTGGATCTTCTGCCCTCTCTTTCCCTCTTGCTGACAGAACTCTCACTTATGATCCTCGCCACCTGGGGCTCTGGGTAAGGAAGGAAGCCAGCAGTGGCATGCTGGGACAAACTAGATAATGCTGCATTACCATGTTAGTGACACAGAACACAGCCAAGCTCATCATTGCCATGTGTCCATCACGGGTCAGCTGAGAACTGCCCCATGTTTCATTTCTCTAGAACACGGCTAAAGGAATATCCAGTCCCTGGTAGGTGAACAGTCTCCATGGAAAAAAAAGAGCATGCTAGAGCATGGCATATAACTAAATGCTTTGGTCCATAAATGACATATGTCATACCCACTCACAGCTTATTGGCCAAAACTAGTCTCATGGCCCCAGGGACCAGGAGGCACAAACCTACTATGGCCCAGAAAATGAAGAGCTGGAATATTTGATGAAGAGCTTCAGTGGGTACCATGTGTCTTCTGTGCAGGAGCCCAGCATCACTTGCTGCCTGGCACATTAGGGGCAGGAGAGATCTTACGGCAAACCTAATCTTCCTACATTGCCTGGTTCCTATGAGAGAGATCCAAAAACTTCATTTTTTCTCAATGTACTAGAAGGATCCTAGCCTCAAATTCTTTCTCTTCATTCCTGAAGTCTTGCATTCTTGAAGCAGGGATTGCTTCCCAATAACTTTGTGCCTCCTCCTCCTTCGGCAGCCTCAGCCAGGACCAGCAGGTCATGAAGGTAGATGCTCTCTCCTGGGTGGCCAATGTCATCAGTCCTGGGTCCTTCTTCTCTCCATCTCTATCTCATTCTTTCCACCTTGTCTTTACAGAGAGCCTTAGAATATCTGAGCCCACTGTTATCATAACCCAACTAGGGGCTCATGGTTGCCTTTACCAAGATGGGTATTAACTTAGTGTCTCCTGAGATCACTTAGGAATTGTGAGCATCTCCTTGCTGATGTTCACCTGAATAACCACCTGCCCTGGGCTTGAAATGGTCTCAGACCACAGAGGGCTTGAATGTGTCCTGAATTTTGCAGGCCAAAAAACCTCAGGGGGGACTCATTTTCACCCTCCATCTTTGGGTCTCTCCTCCTCTGCAACACTAGCTGCTGGCATTAGTCCCTAAGCAGAAAGCCTGTGCTCTGCCCCTTGACCTGGCCCTTGCATTTCCTCTGTGGTGCTGAGTAGGTCTTTCTTCTAGGTAGGGGCTCTGAATCTGAAAAAGCTGGTGGACTTCCTCCAAGAGAATAGCAGTTACCCACATAGGAAGAATAAATTCTCCTGTTTCCTTTGGAGCTTGGCCAATCATCTGTCACCACTGGTGACCAGGAGCTACATGCAACATTTGTGCCAGAGAAGCAGAATGTCCTTCTGCAGTTTCAACCTTGAGTTCAGCCACTGTGGTCTGATTTCCCCACCTCATTCTAGGTCCCCTGGGTAACTCGACGATAGACTCCCCGGGATGCCAGGTCACTGGGGGAAAAGCCTGCGCTCAGCTTCTTGGGGAAAGAGCTCCCACCTCTTCCTTCCTATCACTCTCCCTCCCTGGGTCCCCTCTCCCCCTACATATCTATCTGGTTGGTGCCCAGGTCATCCTTTCTTTCTAATGTCCCTGGATCTCGGCAGAGTGGGATCCCTATGGCTTTTAGCTGGAAGAAAGGGCTGACACCTCCCTGGCAGGGAAGATTTGCCGGCTTCGCCTCTTCAATCTGAACTCGGCCTCAAGGCTGGTCTGGGCCAAATCCAAGATGGGAGTTTCATCCTTGATCCTCATTTCCTGGGGCAGGAAAGTTCATTTTGATTCCACTGCCCCTCTGGTGATCTAGTCTGGGACCTTGGCAACAGTCCAACTGGTGACTGTGCCAAGCACATCTAGTCCCAGTCATGTCCTCTTTGTAAAGAGTAGGCCTTTGGGGCTGGGGATGTGGCTCAAGCGGTAGCGCGCTCGCCTGGCATGCGTGCGGCCCAGGTTCGATCCTCAGCACCACATACCAACAAAGATGTTGTGTCCGCCGAAAACTAAAAAATAAATATTAAAAAAATTCTCTTTCTCTCTCTCTCTCTCTTTAAAAAAAAAAAAAAAAAAAAAAAAAAAGAGTAGGCCTTCACCCAGGAAGATATGAAGGCTCATCCCAAAGAGTTCAGCTCACAAATAGAGCCCCCTGACCTCCCAAGCTAATGGCAACCACAGCCTACTGTACCCACCCAGGGAGTCTCCCTGTCTTATTTTTAAGTTCTTCCAACCCTCTTTTTTTTGTGTGTGGACAGTGGGTGGGAGGCAGAATTGGGAACATGAGGGCATCTCTCATTTTTTCCTTGTTTTCATCTAGGCAGAAACTTCCCAACCAAGGGCAAAGTCAAGGATTTTCTGTGTCCTAGAGCCGCCCATGACCTGTGTGGTTCCCAGGGATAACTAAGGGAGGGACCGTTGTTTTACAGATATCGACGAATGCCGTCACCCTGGCACCTGCTCTGATGGGAGATGCGTCAACTCCCCTGGCTCCTACGCTTGCCTGGCCTGTGAGGAAGGCTACAGGGGACAGAGTGGGAACTGCGTAGGTGAGGGCTGCTTGCCAAGGCAGAGAAGGCTGGCCGGCCTTGGGACTACTGGTTGAGCCCACACACAGGGAGAGAAAGGTGGGCAGAGGGAAGTGGCTGGGAGGCAATTGTCCTCCATGACCCAGTGTCCCAGAGGACACACAGCCTGACATGAGTGGGCTTCAGTTATGGTGCTCTGCCCTCTGAATCAGCAAGGGTGGAGGCCTCTTCTGCTCCCTGGCCACATCCGTTCTGAAGCTACAGCCCCATGTCCCAGAAGCTTCCGTGGATGACTCCTGTGGGGTGGGGTGAGGAGCCTGAGGGTCTTAGGATGAGACTGAGTGGTGGGGAAAGCCGACAGCCAGGCCCTTCTGCTCTCCTGCATGACTGCACTATCTAAACAGTGCCATTCAGCAAACGTGGTGTCCTCCTCCCTCCAGAGGCTGCTTGGTAGCAGTCGGGGGAGCGCTCCTTCCCTTCAGCCCCCGCAAGAAGGGCCTGGGGTTCAGAATGCCAGGAGGAACTTTGTTTTGAATAGATGCTTTGAGGCTCTGGAGAGGGCAGACATTTCCCAGGCCCTTGAGACTGCCACAGCCACCCAGGCATGGTCTGGCCTCTCTCCACACTGTCCGCCCACCTATTAAAGCTGGTGGTCAGGCTGGGAACGTGGGTTGTTTGATGGCAGGTAGGAGAGGGTCAGACCCACAGTGAGGTAAATCTTGGACACCTCATTCTAAGTGTCCTGAGATGGGCTAAACCAGCCCAAGGCTGGGGGACCTGGTCCTTTTTTCTAGGACATATGCAGAGTACTCTGTGTTACCAGATGGGGTTGAGGAGAGCTCCTGGGGAGGGGACCCTGCCCTGCCCAGGTGTGATAAGGAGCCTGGCTTCATAGCCTTCCCAGTGTAGCCTACCGAAGCCAGCATAGTCCCTCTGGAGGCCGATTCCAATTRAAATGCTCCATGCCTGCCAAGAGCAGCTGCATGAAGGGGAGGAGGCCGTGTGACATCTTCTCACCCACAGATGTGAATGAGTGTCTGAGTCCCGGGGTCTGCACCCATGGAAGGTGTATCAACCTGGAAGGCTCCTTTAGATGCTCTTGTGATCATGGCTACAAGGTCACCTCAGACGGGAAGGGCTGCCAAGGTACAAAGATACTGAAGCACCCCACCTCCACAGGCAAATCAGCCTGTGGCTCTCTCTGTGTGTGCCCCCATATCCACCCAATCACGTATCCCTAACCACACTGACCTCACACATCCCTGCCAAGACCTGTGCTTGCCCCAATCCCTGCCCACCTGTCCGTCTAGCTATCCCGGCATGTCTGCCCTGCAGAATCTCACACAGAACTCAATGGCCTGTTTCAGATGTGGACGAGTGTACCACCCGGGCCTCATGCCCTACAGGCCTCTGCCTCAACACCGAGGGCTCCTTTACCTGCTCACCCTGCAAGAGTGGTTACTGGGTGAATGAAGATGGCACTGCTTGTGAAGGTAGCCCTGGGGAGGTGGTGGCCAAAGGGACAGAAGGAGACTCTATTTTCTGGCCAGTCTTGGGGCAAGGGAGAATCCAGCTTAGGCTAGAGGGCCCTATGAAGGGACTTAGCCCCAAAGAGAGCTTCTAATATCATAATCCCCATGTTCAAAGGTGAGGACAGGAGGAATAGGAGGTCACAGAGACCAGAGGAAGCTGAGGTGGGAGCTACCCATGGAGCAATCTAGAGAAGAGTGGTGGGGATTGACATAGAATGCCCCCAGCCAGGGCCTGCCCTTCCCCAGAGGCCCCAAATGTCCTCCAAGCTTGGAGAGGGGCTGGAGTGTGTTGAGGGCCTCACTGTCGCTGGCTGGGGGAAGCCCTCCTGCATCACTAGCTATGGCTGTCTGTCTGCCCAGACCTGGATGAGTGCACCTTTCCCGGAGTCTGCCCCACAGGAGTCTGCACCAACACTGTGGGCTCCTTCTCCTGCAAGAACTGCCAAGAGGGGTACCGGCCCAGCCCCCTGGGCCGCACCTGTGAAGGTAAGAGCCCCGTCGTGTGGGAGCACAGTTAGGATACTAACCTGCTCCTCTGCAGGCAAGAAGGAACTGGGGCCTCCCTAGAAGGGTGGGCTGGCTGGAGACTCATATTCTCTCTCCTCCTGGAATGGAAGTCAGAGAGGTGACCACAGACCTGGGTCATATGAACCAATAAGCCGCTGGTTCACAGGCTTCAGTCTACTTGAGCATCACTGAAGGGCATGGTTCACTGTGCAGCTCCCTGGGCCTTGTCCTAATTTACCCTGTGGACTCAAGGGGCCCTTGGAATCTGTGCCCTGACAAACTCCCTAAGTGTGCCTCATAAGGGTGGCTGCTGGGAGAACATTGACCTGTACCAGGCAATCTGTAAGCCGACTTGAAGAATCAAATTTCTGGTACCTTCTCAGGTTCACTGTATCTGTTTTCTTGGTTCATTTCCCATTTGTTTTCCCATTGCTTCTCATTGAAATCAGAGGCCTCTTAGCAGTGACAGGGGCATAAGGCTTTGGCTTCACTGGGCTAGGACTGCTGGGCACTGTGGGCTATGAATTAACCTGGCAGAGCAGGGCCAAGCGGAAGGAGCAGTAGTCATCCCGCTCCTATTCCGTTCTAGATGTGGATGAGCATCTGCCACAGACCAGTAGGAGGGGGTGCACTGTGTCAACACCAAGGGCTCCTTCAGCTGTCTGTGCGAGACTGTTTTCCAGCCCTTCCCAGAGATTGTGGAGTGTGGGGGCGAAGGGATGCTACTCCCTCACCAGCTTCTCCCAGCTGCTCTATGCTGGGAGGATGGTCCCAAAGGTTCAGTCTCCACAGGCAGGTGACAGGTCCTCTGGAAACCTCCCCCTCAAAGCTGGCCTTGGGAGGTGTCACCATCAGCTGCCTCCCTCCCTTGTGTGGCCCTGCAGATGTGGATGAGTGTGAAGACACCCAGAATAGCTGCCTGGGAGGCGAATGCAAGAACACACCTGGCTCCTATCAGTGCCTCTGTCCCCCAGGCTTCCGGTTGGCCAATGGCACTGTGTGTGAGGGTGAGTGGCCTGATTGTCCCCACTGAGGGTTGAGACAGTGAGTGTATGGGGAGGTGGGGACACCTCGCTGCCATCTTTTCCCCTGCAGATGTGGATGAGTGTGCAGGGGAGGCACACTGTGCGCCCCATGGCGAGTGCCTCAACAGCCATGGGTCCTTCTTCTGTCTCTGTGCGCCTGGCTTTGCCAATGCAGATGGAGGCACCAGCTGCCAGGGTGAGAAGCCAGCTGTGTCTGGGGGCAGGGACAAGGAGTACTAGAGTCTATGCAGGGGCTTCATCCTTCTTCATACCGGTACTGAAATAAAATAAAATGCTCATGGCTGCCTGCATGCATGAGAAGATGGAAGGACAGGAGTGATGTGGGGAGCCAGGTGGGCAGGGAGGGACTCAAGAGTCTCTCTGCAGAGCCTCTCTGTGATGTCTGTAGCAGGCACCCTCTCTCCAGTCACCCTTTACCCCTTGACAGAGGCCTGGCCCCAGCACTCCTCCCCATAGCATGGTCTCTAATATCCAGCTCTGGACTCTCCTTAGGATTTTCTAGCCCTTTCCTACCCCAAGCCACTCTGTAGCCATCTTATGGGCTACTTGGAGCCCAGAGGAAGCTGAACCAGGTGATAACAGGGAAGAGATCATTGGCTGGTTCTGGTCATACGTGTCTGTTTTCTAGATGTGGATGAGTGTGCAGCTGCAGACCAGTGTTTGGGGGGACACTGTGTCAACACGGAGGGCTCCTTCGACTGTGTGTGTGAAATTGGCTTCCGGCCCTCCCCAGAGAATGGGGAGTGTGTGGGTAAGGACTCCAGAGGAGTGGACAGGGCCCTACTCCATGTCTGTGCACCTCCACCCCTATCTGGTCCTCAGCTCCCTGGAATAAGAAACTTCAGCTTCAGGGAAGCAGAGTGCTTTGCACAGATTGATCATATGATAGATAATGCATTTGAGCCTCTGCTGGCCCCAGGATTGTTCAAGGCTGATAAAATGAAGACAATCACAATTTTTGTGCTGGCACAACACACAATCTAGTTTTAAAGGCCAAACTGATTTAGTCAACATTAAACACCTGCCAAGTTCAATGTTCTTTGCTAAGACAAACAATTACAGACAATCAAGAGACAGATACAAAGACAGCTCCCTGTTATCCACTCAGGAAGGGTTGCATGCTCTGCTGGTAGGGCATGGAGGAACGGAAGTATCACTGAAGGCTAAGATCTCAGTGCTTCCTTTTTTTTTTTATATATACCAGGGATTGAATCCAGAGGGCACTGAACCACTGAATTCATCCCCAGCCCTTTTTTATATTTTATTTAGAGACAGGGTCTCATTGAGTTGCCCAGAGCCTTGCTTTGCTGAGGCAGGCTTTGAACTCACAATCTTCCTGCCTTAGCCTCCCAAGCCACTGGGATTACAGGCGTGTCCCACAGCGCCCGGCTCAGTGCTTCCTAAATAGCAGACAGTTCTCTTCCATTTAGCCCTGCTGGGTTGGGAGAAGTTTCCCTGAACTTACTGTTCCAGGGTTGAGGTGAGCATAGTAAATTGGATCAGATGAAAGACCTCAGAAATTATGGGACATGACCTTGTTGCAATGCCAGTGAATTAAGGTTACTGGGGTCAGAACAGTGGCCTGGCCACATCTGTCTCCTCTCATGCCTCTGGGGACAGACATCGATGAGTGTGAGGATAACAGAGAGCCGGTGTGTGGGGCCTGGAAGTGTGAGAACAGTCCTGGCTCCTACCGCTGCGTCCTGGGCTGCCAGCCTGGCTTCTACATGGCCCCGACTGGAGACTGCATCGGTGAGTAGGAGTGGGGTGGAGCGGGAGGGCTGAGGACATCTGTTTTTCCCTGTATGGAGCTAGAAATGATTTTCTCCTGAGGACACTGTTTGTACAGCTGTTTGAAGTTTGTATATTTTCCATACAGCCCAGCTTACCCAAAAATTGAAAAGGAATGTTACTGTTAGTTTTCTTGTCCCATGTTCAGAGGTCCTTTCACAGATCTTGGTGTTAATGGACCAGATAAGTGCTCACACACACTCCCTCTACCCGGCCCCTACTGTCCCACAGACATAGACGAGTGTGCCAATGACACCATGTGTGGGAGCCACGGCTTCTGTGACAACACGGATGGCTCTTTCCGCTGCCTCTGTGACCAGGGCTTTGAGACCTCGCCCTCAGGCTGGGACTGTGTTGGTGAGAAGCCTGTGGGTCAGTCACCCAGGGTCTGGGCCAGGAGGGCCACTGGGTTCTTCTTAACCTCCAGGGGTTGTGACTATCCTTAAAGGAAGCCCTAGCGCCTCTTCCTGAATCATTTGTGGGTTCATGGCTCCATGATAGGTTCCCAAAGGGTGGGCAAGGGAGCTTCAAGGAGGAGAGAAAGATTTCAAGTCACCTCTCCAGCTGGCACTTTGGCTAGGCTGGTAGGGGAAGCATGGCCAATCCTGCCAGCAGAGGAAGCAAGTTCATGAAGGAAGGTGCCCACCCCCACCCCTCTGGCTCCCCCTTCCCTGGAGACCTCGGGGGCTTGAGAAGCCCCATGTTTGGAGAAAGTACACAGTGGGCAGACCTGACTCTTTGGCCCTTTTGTGACCCTTTTCTTCCACTCCTCTCTTCCTTCCTATGCCTGTCCATCTGTCCCTCATTCCTGCTAATTCATGCCCACTTTGCTTCTGCCAAGGCCTAGCATGGTTCTTTTCAGTGGATGAGGACCTGCCTGGCTGGGCTGGAGTCAGGGACAGGGCACACAGGCTGCCTCTTCTCTGCCCAAGAGCCTGTCCTCACACCTGGCAGATGTGAACGAGTGTGAGCTCATGCTGGCGGTGTGTGGGGCCGCCCTCTGTGAGAATGTCGAAGGCTCCTTCCTGTGCCTCTGCCCCAATGACCTTGAAGAGTATGATGCCCGAGAGGGTCACTGCCGCCCTCGGGTGGCTGGAGGTGAGACATGTGAGCTTCCCACAGGACCACTCCCCCATCCCCCACCCTGCCTCCCCTTTTGTCATTTACCATGATGATTCTCTGCCTTACAAAAGGCATCGCTCCTCTAGTTCCTGAGAGGAAGCCGGGTCGGGACTGTGCAGTAATGGAGGTGCAGGGTGGGAATGAGGCACAGAGTGGGGAGGGGAGCGAGAGGCCGCAGGAGCTAAGACGAGTGGGGCTCTGCTCCAGCCTCTGCAGCATCTGGGCTGCTGGGCTGGGATGACCTAGAGGAGGCTCAAGATCTGGGGCTGACTTCATGTGGCCCCAGGACCTCAGATTGAGCCTTGGAGTGACCCTAAATCCATCCAGTCTCTGAATGAATCTTTGGGATAAGGGGAAATTTGAAAGTGAGCTAAGCTGGACTCTCCTCTCCTGCTTCCCGTGCTTCCCACTCTGCCCCAGAGCTGCGGGCTCAGCCTCTCAACCAACCAAGGCTGGGCTGAGTCAGCTGGTGACCTTGCAAGGAACAAGGAAGGGTGGGAAGGGCGGGTACCTGTGAGGCAGAATGAATCAGAGGACAGACAGGTACACCAGCATAGAAAGGAAAGGTACAGTACCCACTCCTGGGATGTCCATGGGCCAAGTGAGACAACATAGTAACAGCATTTTGTACTCTTGTAATTCTACAGAAATGTTGAATTTAAAAGATACATTCAAGGGCTGGGTGACTCAGAGGGTAATGAACTGACAATAATAAGGGGCCTCTAACACACACAGCTCAGAGCATCCCTGAGGCCCCGACAGGAGACCACGCCCCAGGCCCCATTCGCATGGAATGCTACTCTGGGCAGAAGGACCATCTGCCATGCTCCAGCCTCCTCCTTGGTGGGAACTCCACGCAGGCTGAGTGCTGCTGCACTGAGGGAACCAGATGGGGGGATGCCTGTGACCTCTGCCCATCTGAGGACTCAGGTAAAGCCTCAAGGGTCCCAAATCTTCTTAGCATCAGCTCTGCAGTGTGACAAAGTGGGGAGGGGAAAGGAGGCATCCCTTTCCTCTCTGAGCCTAGCTGCCTCCCTACAGTTGAATTCAGCGAGCTCTGCCCCAGTGGTAAAGGCTACATCCCTGTGGAAGGAGCCTGGACGTTTGGACAGACCATGTACACAGGTGACCTCCCTCCACACACGCCTCCCCAAACTCCATTTGCCAGAGTAGGCCCTAGTTTGGTCCTCTAGGAGTTCCCTAGGGAAGTCCTGCACCAGCCCTGGCCTCCCTGATTACTTCCATCTTTTCCGTCCCAGGGCTGACTCCCTATAGAGTTTTAGCTGGAAGCTCTAACCCAAGCTCCTCCTGGAGTGTCCACATGACCCTCACCTCAGGTTCCCTGCTCCCTCAAGTCTGCACCCTCTGGAAACAGACTATGGTGCCTTGGCCAACACTCACCCGCCTGTATGTGAACACAGGGACAGAGGCGGGGTACTGCTGCACAGAGGCCAGACATAGTAACCTATGTCCCTGGCCCCATTTACAAAGCCAGAAACTTAGCAGAGCCCATATTCCCAAAGGGGGGTTTCAGGTATTGAGCCTTAGTCCTGAAGCTAGTTCTAAGGAGGAAATAATAGAAACAGAAATACCCTCTGTGTGTGTGTGTGTGTGTGTGTGTGTGTGTGTGTGTGTGTTGTCATGTAGGAGTTCCACCTACATGCTGAGGACCACAGCCCCAGAAGTAGCTTTTCTTGAGTGCTTGCTATGTGCCAAGTACTGTTTTAAACACCTTCTCATCCTCATGACAAGTATAAGAGGTGAAGTGATATTACCCACAGTTTTTTAGATAGGAAACTAAGGAGAACTGAAGAAACCTGCCCAAAGTCACCCAACTCAGAAGTGGCAGGGCCAGGATTCAAACCCAGACAGTCCAGCTTTGGAGCCCCTGGTCTTAAGTACCACCTCATCCTGCCTCCCCTTGTCCTCTCACCTCAGTTCTACCCTCCCACAGATGCCGACGAGTGTGGAATGTTTGGGCCTGCTCTCTGCCGGAATGGCCGGTGCCTCAACACGGTACCTGGCTACATCTGCCTGTGCAATCCCGGCTACCACTACAACATCTCCCGCAGGATGTGTGAGGGTGAGGATACACATGGCCCCTCCCACCCCAGCCCCTGCTGGCCAGTCCCTCTCTTGCTGGGAGACCCCTTCCTGGGCAGGATGCCTGTTGCAGGCAGGTCTGAGGTGAGGAGAGCTCAGGACCATCAGCAATTGTCCCTCAGGAGGGGTCTTCCAGGTTGGGCTGGACTGGGGAGATCTTCAGGATCAGCCACAGGTGAACCCCCTTCCATGAATGTAGTCCATGGACAGGCCACCTTGGCCCTGCCACACTCCTGCCACCACAGATCACAATGAGTGCCAGGACATGGCCTGTGAGAATGGCGAATGTGTGAACACGGAAGGCTCCTTCCACTGCTTCTGTAGCCCCCCGCTCACCCTGGACCTCAGTGGGCAGCGCTGTGTGAACAGCACCAGCAGCACAGGTCAGTGACCTTAGGTATGGGCAGCAGGGGGCACAGGCCTAGGCTGAGAAGCTCATGTGCCCCTGGGCCTTGTGCCACCAGAGGACCTCCCTGACCATGACATCCACATGGACATCTGCTGGAAAAAAGTCACCAATGACGTGTGCAGCCAACCCCTGCGTGGACACCGCACAACCTACACAGAATGCTGCTGCCAGGATGGCGAGGCCTGGAGCCAGCAGTGTGCTCTGTGCCCCCCTAGGAGCTCTGGTGAGGGGGACACCTGCAGGGCTGGGCCCACCCTGGGAAGGGAGACACTCTCACCTTGGAAGGCAGGAGTAGGCGATCAGACCAGTGGCCATGTCTTACAGCTCAGTTATTTGAAAATAAAGTGGTGGTGGTGGGTGGGGAGCACTGCTAGGAACTCCCAGGAGTCATTAGTTCCCATGTGTTCCCTGTCTTCTGGGGGAATGAGCCAGTTGAACTAGCCCCCAGGCTTTAGCTAGTGGGAGTTGAAGCCCAGCTTCTTTCCTCCATCCTTCCTGAAAGAGGTCTATGCTCAGCTGTGCAACGTGGCCCGGATCGAGGCAGAGCGGGAAGCTGGAATCCACTTCCGGCCTGGCTATGAGTATGGCCCAGGTCCAGATGACCTGAACTACGGCCTCTATGGTTCAGACGGGGCCCCCTTCTACAACTACCTGGGCCCTGAAGACACTGTGCCTGAACCCCCATTCCCCAACATCGTCAGTCACTTGGGAGACCTCACACCAGTCTTTGAGTCTCCTCTGCAGCCATCCCAACTCCAGCCCCACTACATGGCCAGCCATCCAGGTATGTTGTTGCAAACAGAGGGAAGAGCAGACACTGAGACTGTTTCCCTTTCTTCTCCTCCACCTGCCCATCATATTGCCCGTGGGGTGAGGCTACAGAAGGTGAATGATGCGCCAAGCCACAGGTCACTSAAGACTCCTAATGCCTGGGTCAGACCCTACCAATTCCCAGTGAACTAGCACAGGGACACAGGGACATAGGGACAGGACATTGTCCCAACCTCAAAAGCTTCCCTGTAGAAGTGGAGAGAAAACAGTTTTGCTCAGGTCTGTTCTCCCTCCACACCACTTACGGGATACAGAACAGCTGCTCTGAGGAAGCCTGACATTCAAACTTGTGACCTGAAATGAGAATTAAGGATTTCTAATGACTTTAAAAGTCCACAGTGGTCACCCCCCCAGTTGGTGAATTGACTGCCCCAGGACTCAGGCCTTGAATCCTCATAATGAATTCAGGCCTGGGCACCTGGACACAGTACATACCACAGGCACTGCCATCACATCAGACTGATTAGCACCAGTCGGGCAGGATGGGGTTTTGTTCAGAGGGTGGGAGAAAGGGGTAAGGCAGATTAGGGTTGTGTTGACTGAGGCCTGCTGCCACTCTCCCACTTGAAAAAAAAAAAAAGAGGATATAAAATTTAAAAAAAATAGCACCCCCCCAACCCAAAAACTACACACCTACAATCCCAGAAACTCCAAGACTGAGGTAGGAGGATCACAAGTTCAAGGCCAGCCTCAGCAACTTAACAAGACCCTCTCTCAAAATAATTTTTTAAGGGGTAGGGATGTAGCTCAGTGTTCAGGAGCCCACTTGTGAAAGCAGGGAGTCTCAACCTTCTTGGAGCCCTCACTTGTCTCCCACCTAAAATGACATCAGAGTGTGGCCTTTTGATTTAGCACCTTTCTATGGGAATTTTATGACCTCCCAGCCTAGCCCACTCCTGGGATCACCAGGGACAGCCTTTGTTCTGGAAGGTGAGGGTCGCAGGACTGAGATTAGTCTAGGCACAGGCCTCAGCTTCCCTCTCACTCCTTGCCAGAGCCCCCAGCCGCCTTCGAAGGGCTTCAGGCAGAAGAGTGTGGAATCCTGAATGGCTGCGAGAATGGGCGCTGTGTGCGTGTGCAGGAAGGCTACACCTGCGACTGCTTTGAGGGCTTCCAGCTGGATGCAGCCCATATGGCCTGTGTGGGTAAGTTTGGGGTCCTGATGGAGAAGTGAGACTGCCCCAAGAAACATAGGACTGCCCTTGGGATGGCTGGGAAAACCACTGCTGCCCCCTAGTGGGGTGCAGGGCTTCAAGCCAGGGTGAGAAAGCCAGAGGAAGGTTCATGGTGGACTTATGAAGCTCTTCCCCGGGGATTGGTAGACAGAAGAAAGGCAGAGGGCAAGGTCTTGGGCACACTGTGAGGTCACTGCCCCTTGATTTTTGTCATTGAGTTGTTTGGTTTGGGGAGGAAACTTGGCCTGTCACACCAGGATTCCATTGCAGAATGGGAGCCAGGGCTTAGTGACCAGAGGACAGAAGGGCACCCTTCAGCTTTCTCCTTTCCCTTCCTTTTAGATGTGAATGAGTGTGATGACTTGAATGGGCCTGCTGCGCTCTGTGCCCACGGTCATTGTGAGAACACAGAGGGTTCCTACCGTTGCCACTGTTCCCCAGGATATGTGGCGGAGGCAGACCCCCCACACTGTGCTGCTAAGGAGTTGCAGTGAAGGGTCAGTGTGGGCAGCTACCTGGAAATGGCCTGCTGCCACAGGCAGAGGCCTAGAGGATGCTTTCCTAGCTGGGACAACACCATGATATCAGGCTGGGGCCCTCTGCCCGGGTCTGACAGCCTTGCCTGCTTTCATCTCTCCCAGCTTAGGCTTTGGCTGTGAGCTTCCACCACTGCCTCCATGCCCTTGCTTGGCTCAAACACCACCACTTTAATGCTTCAGCCACTGGCCTGAGGCCCAGCACACCACCTATCTTGGCCTTGCTATGGGATACTTGTCAAAGGACAGCTGTCATTCACCTCCCAACCCAGGCTGTGCAAACATGCAAGGTCTCATGGCCTCACACTACAGACACCCCTTTCCAGCCATGATCCACATATCAACTGATGATTCTACAACTGGGACAGAGGCCACATCTGCCCTGAATGGTCCTTTAGAATCTGTGGGACTAGAAAGGGTTTGGGAGAGTTTGAGGGATGTCTCTAGTGCCCCCTCTTGAAGCTATCACCTCCACCTAGCCACCTGCTCTAGGCCCTGAATTTGCCACAACTCCATCCTGTAGCCAGTTCCGTGGCCCCAAGGAGGGGAAGAAGATGCCCTCATCTCAAAGAAGCAAGACTGGCATTAGCTTGCCAAGTGTAGGAGACACAAATGAAGAGGGGCAAAGATCCCGAGAAGTCTCCAGGAGAGCAATATGGGAAATATGAGAGTCAATACAGAAGAGGGAGCCAAGGGTTCACTGGAAGTCTAAAGAAAAGAGTAGTCTGGAGTAAATAAATATTCAAAATCCACCCAGTGATAGCTCCTGTGCACCAGCAGCAAGGGCTGCCCCAAGACAGAAGATCCACCTCCAAAGACCGTTATTAAATATATATGCTTCTTCCAGAAAACAAATCTCTTTCAGGACTCTCTTTTTGTGAAAATCAGTTAAATTTTCTTACAATAAAAAGGTTTATTTTCTAGTGTGGTCTTGTTCAGCAGAAACCAGATTTCCAAATGTTTGCCCCACCCCACTCAGAGGCCCCTTGGCCTCTTCCCCTTCAGAAAATGAATGTCCAGAATCCCTAAGTTTGCAGGTAGAAACTCACTGGGCTAGCTGAGAGTTCAAAACCATGGAACTTTATCATGTTGGTTAAATCAAAATGTTAGATCTGAGACTGTCTACCCCTGATGGCCAGCTCTGGCAAAACCCTATCAGTAGGTTTCAATGGGAAAGGTTCTTACTATTCCAAGCCAAGGACAACTCTTGACTGCATTTCTCTATGAATGGCAATCTAAATGAACAAGGCTGCCTGTGATGGGAGACAGGGAGATGAATGCTACTTTCTTAATTTAATCTGTCTGTCCTATCTGCTGCTCTGATTGTCGGCTATCACAAAATAATTTATTGAATGCTTGCCACATGCAGGCACTGTGTTGAGTGCTGTGCATAAATTTCACTTAATCATCTAACAATGCTACCTACTATTTTTATTCCCAATTTACAGGTGAGGAAATTGAGACAGAAAAACTTAGATCTGCTCTAGATCATTATTCTAGTTGATTTAAACAAAACAAAAATAAATGGTTCTTAAACGTGTGAAAGCAGTCTTTCCTTTATAATAAAAGAAACTGAAAATGCAGTGAAATACTGTTTTACAAATATTGGCAAAGATCAAAAAGGTTTTAAGACTCCTTGCTGGCAAGCATCTGGAGAAACACACCATGATAGCTGATGGAAGTATAAATTGGTACAACCTCTGAAGAGGACAATATGGCAGTGTCTTTCAAAATTACATAATAGCACTAACTCTTTGATTCAGTAATACCACTTCTAGGAATTTAAGTTTCAAGATATATTCTCACCAAATGTGAAATGACTTATGTAAGAGGTTATTTATTACAGCACTATTTGTAATAGCAAAAGATTAGAAACAATTTCTACAGAACCCTAAAAACCAAAACAAATTGCCTTGATAAGATACCCAGGAAAAAGGGAGGTTATTTATTAGCATGTAACATCCTATTTATCTACAGAGACAAGAGAAGTGGATAGCTATTACTTCATCCTTGCCACTCCACCTTACACCCCATCATTCAGAGAACTTTTTACCATTCCTCAAATACACTCTGTTGGCACTGTGCTCCTAAATGCTGTTCCCACTGCCCTCCAACCTTTCTCTCTTGTCCTAGTAGACATATTGAATGCATACACTCACATTTCCTTATTAAAATTTCAAATGGCATATTATGTATGCTGTTCTGCACTCTGCTTTTTTCCACTTTATGCTTGCAAATAAATACCTGATTCTATTTTATAGCTGAATACTATTCCATTGAATGGATAAACCATAATTAATCAATGACTCATCAAAAGATAGTTCCATTGTTTCCCATCTTTTACTAATAATGCTGTAATGAATATCCTTGGTCACATGTTATTTCATGTTATATCTATGGGATTATATCTCTGGAATAAATTCTTAGAAACAATGGTGGTTGTGGGGAGGGTGACAGGGTGGACAGGTACCATAATGGAACACTTTCCACTATACCCCTTTTGTGTCTTTTTGAATTTGTACATGTACTACTTATCAAAAATAAATATTTTTAAATAAAGCTGCTGACCACAGACTGCTTAAATGTCCTCTCCCTTTATATTATTTATCTGACTGTAGTTTACAATTAAAGTCATGTGATGATTATTTCAAAATTCCTTAAAGCAAACTTCCCTTAAGCAATCCTGTTGAGAAGAAAACATAGATTTTAAGTAAACAATTATAAACATCAATCTCAAACATCAAGAAAAGTAAAAAGAAGCTTCCTGTCTTTTAGACAAACATGCAAAACCATAATGTTCAAATGGACGGTGGTAGGCCCTGCCAAAGGCCAAGTTCTAGAGAGGGCTATACTATTTGGTACACCTGGTTGCTCCTGCCAAATGTTGGTCCTCCACGCTGATGCTTCCTAACAATAGAACAGGATGTAATTCTCAGAAGAAAGTATTTCAGGACACTTAAACAGTTCTTCCCAATCTCTTACTTCTGAACAGTTTTCCTCTTCATCCCTTGAATTCAGTCAACATTCCCATAAAAAGAAAGTAGGTGGACACATATAGTATATGGTTTACATATAGTCACTATCATCACATAACTGAAGAATGTGATTCCATAATAAAATCAATGAAGAGACCTGAAGTTTTGAACCAAAACATAAAGCAGACTGAAGAGTTCCCCTGTTTTTTTTTTGTGTGTGTGTTTTTGTACTGGAAATTTAACCCAGGGGTGCTCTACCACTGGGTTATACCCCCAGCCTTTTTTATTTTCTCACTAAGTTGCTGAGGCTGACCTTAAAAACTTGCAATCCTCCCATCTCAGCCTCCCATGTCACTGGGATTACATACATGTAACAGCATGCCTTTGTCTCCCTTTGTCTTCTTTGGTTCTTGTAATTAGTATGGTGTTTGCTAAAGAAAAGACAAGGTGAGTATTGCCTAGCATGCATGAAGCCCTGGGTTTAATTCCCAGCACTCAAAAACAAGAGGGTGTGGGAGGGGCAGGAGATGGCTCATGATGCCCAGGCACTTGGATACAAAGTTAAATAAACCCAATTTCATAACAAATAAGGTCTTGACAACCTCCTCTTGGAAGAACAGGTGAAACCAAAGATCTTTCCATTGACAAAGGAAAAATATAAAGTATTCCTAAATGAATTTATACAGTGAGTAAAATTTGTGAAAATATCTTGTTAGCCCTTATGGCTTGCCAGGAAGAGGGCAACTGGTCAAAAAGGGCCTGTAGAGGAGCCTAAATTTGTTTAGCATGCTATTTAGTTCAAGCAAATGGCTCAGTGTCCCCTTGCTGATGTCATTCCCCCTTGCCCTGTGTTCTTAAGTCACTCCACTCCAACAAAGACTTCTTGTGGTCACTTCCAGCTTCCCCATGAAGCATTGTCAGTGTGAAGTAAAGTGATTTCTCCCGAAGCCACCATTTTTTAACCACCAAATTCCACTTCTTTCATTAATAGTAGGCACTCACATATAGGCTTCTGTAGTCTAAAAGACCTAGTTTCTGCCCAGTTGACCACTGCAATTTAATGGAGTACAGCAACTAAAGCTGTTATGCTTGTGCTCAAGAGTTTTTAAACCACTAAAGCAGTAAATAACTCACAGCCAGCTCAATGGTGAACACCTGTAATCCCAGTAACTCAGGAGGCTGAGGCAGGAGGATCACAAGTTCAAGACCAACCTCAGCAACTCAGTAAGACCCCCAGTCACATAGCAAGACCCTGTCTCAAACAAAAAAATAAAAAGGGATGGGAATGTGGCTCTGGTAAAGAGCCCCTGGGTTCGATCCCTGGTACCCCCAAAAAAAATGTTCTGAAAGAAAGGTTCATTTTTTCACTTTAAATGTAGCAAAATCTCTTTTTAAGGATGATGAAAGTACTTAAGTAATCTGAATTGAAAATGTTATTAGGCCCAAATATTGGCAGCAACTAACTCATTCTCAGCGTCTTAGTAACTTGTGTACACAGACACTTCATGGTATGTTCCTTCCTGCCACCTTCCATGGACTACTAAGAAATCTGCTAAGTTTCCAAGAGTCCCCTTCTTTCCTCTAACCACGTGACAGTTTTCCCCCCTCTATGTCCGAGATTATCCCACACATAAGTATCTAAAGTTCAGTCACATATACTTTGTTTCTAAACTCTATTTTCATTTTTATTTTTTTAATATATATATATATATATATTTTTTTTTTTAGTTTTCGGCGGACACAACATCTTTATTTGTATGTGGTGCTGAGGATCGATCCTGAGCCGCACGCATGTCAGGCGAGCGTGCTACCGCTTGAGCCACATCCCCAGCCCCTCATTTTTTTAAATATTTATTTTTTAGTTGTAGTTAGACACAATACCTTTATTTTATTTATTTATTTTTATGTGGTGCTGAGGATTAAACCCAGGGCCTCACATTAAACCCAGGGCGAGCACTCTACTACTGAGCCACAACCCTAGCCCTTATTTTCACTATTTTTAATAATGAATTTTCATAGCAGATGACCTTAATTCCTATCTAGTCCAGAGATTCAAGTTTCTGCTATAACAAACTTTAAGTGAAAGATGGATTTAATCAACAACTCTCAGAATCAACCTGATTGTGGTTTCCCCCACATTAGCATTAAAAAGTTATCTGTTAGCTGGATACAATGATTCACATCTGTAATCCTAGCAATTCAGGAGGCTGATGCAAGAAGATCACAAGTTTGAGGCTACAGTGAAATTTAGCAAGACTCTTAGCAACTTAACAAGACTTTCTCAAAATAAAAAATTAAAAGGACTGGGGATGTAGCTCAGTGGTAAAGTGCCTCCAGGAGCCAAAAACTAAAAAAATTATTTGTTATGATGGTGGTGCAAATTCTTTTTCAGTTTTCTGTCTTTACTATTCTGAGTCCCCTAGCATCATAAAGAATTATTTAAACCTCCAAACCCATTTAAAGGCACACCTAAACAAATACTTTAAAATGCACTGGAATTTGTGGTTTAAAAATCTTTTCATTTAGACACCCTAAAGTAGGATTGCCATGTTTAGCACATAAATGTTATGTATTGTAGACAAAGAGTAGACATACTTATATTACAGATTAAATGATATAAAAAAATTTGTTGTTCATCTGAAATTCAAATTTAACTAGGCAGTTTGCATTTCATTGGTAACCCACTCTTTAAAAAGACCTCTATTAAAGAAGTACTGTAGATTAGACAAAGAGAAATGAAGGGAAGGGAGGGGAAATGGGAATAGGAAAGATAGTAGAATGAATCAGACATTACTGTCCTATGTGCACATATGATTACACAACCAATGTAATTCTACATCATGTACAACCAGAAGAATGAGAAGTTAAATTCATATAATGTCAAAAATATACTCTACTATCATGTATAACTAACAAGAACAAATTTTAAAATATTTTAAAAATAAATAACTTCTATTACTGGGCATGGTAGTGCATGCCTGTAATCCCAGCACTTTGGGAGGCTGAGGCAGGAAGATTATAAGTTCAAAACCAGCCTCAGCAATTTACAGAGACCTGTATCTAAAATTAAAAAAAAACTGGGCATGTGGCTCAATGGATAAGTGCCTCTGGGTTCAATCCCCAGTACTGGGAAAAAACAAGAAGACCTCTATTAGTTACATAATGGAGTTACATTTTCAACTATGCATAAGAAAGACATTTTATACCATAAGGTAGATGAAGCAACATATCCTAATAGGATTCAATTACTAATTGGTCACAGATCTTGAAGTGTCTGTATGAATACAGAGTATCGAGGCTATTTTTCAAGTTATTCAGGTATCAGAGTTTGTCCCAAGTTTTCTGGGGGATGGCTCTTGTTTTTTTTTAATCCTAGCAGATCTGTGAATATGACAATATCACATGGGAAGTAGTGAATGGGCTGCATAGAAAATAAGAAAATGTCAGTAGCACATTCATAAAGGGTGAAATGTGAAGCTAATTTGTGGCACATACCTGTAATCTCTGCTTCTTGGGAGGCTAAGGCAGGAGAATTGTAAGTTCAAGGTGAACCTGCATAACTCAGTGAGAAAAAAAATGTATATAAAAACAAAAAGGGCTGGGGGTGTAGCTCAGCAGTAGAGCACTCCTGTTTCAAGCCCCAGAAGATGGGTGGGGTGGGGGAGTGAAAGAGTGAAATGAAAAAGATAACAATTCATATGCCTTTCTTATCAGTTCTGACCTAGTAATCAGTGTTCAATTTATCCAATCTATAAAACTGATCCAAAACACTCTAAGGACTTTCTTTAAACTTAGGCTTTTATACATTGTTATACATATATGTTCAAACATTCTGGAGGCTAGAGAAGTAACTCCAATTTTGGAGGATTGGAGGCTCTATAGAGTACACTAGGTTTCAACCAGTAATTAAATATGAGGTAACAACATCTATAAGTTTGGCCTTAGCATTGTATAGGAGCTGGGGAGTAATTTAGGCCAAGTGTAAAAGCTTCACATTCTGAAAATAATAGTGGAAAAACACAACACTTCTGAATTAAGAAAAATAAAATTGAGAGAGGGACATGATTAGAAGGAAACTTCTAGAATTCTACTAATCGCAGTTCCTCAGATTGGTACAACTGATGGCAATCTCTGGATCACCATTCATCAAGTCAAAGTTTGACAGAGAAGGATGACCCACAGGAGCAGCCTTGTTCTGCTTGAGGATTGTTCAACACTTGAAATGAGCTTCGGATCAGTTCTTGGCTGAAGTCCACCTGGGCCCCCTTTACGAAGGCCAAGCTATCAGAATCAACCACAACTCTTGCCCCACCCTGTTCAAATACCCTGAAAAGACAGGAGGAAGCATTAGTGAATACCACAAACACCAAAAACAGGATACCCTCTAGGGCCAGAAGTGCATATTCTAAAGGGGAGATTCCTTATTACCTCTTAATAGGTGCTGATTGTCTTTGAAGCAAAAAGAATAAATGCTGGGAAATATATATGGACTTGGGCCTGGAATCTAGTCCAGCCTGACTCTCTACCCATTACCCCATGAACTAAGCAGGCCAATTTTCCTTCTACAATTTAGTTATTTTGAATCAAGCCGACCAATCTTACTGCATCCTCACAGTGTCAGAAGGGCGGTGGTTAATCGTCCTTAACAAGCCCTTTAAATCTGGAATAAAATTGCACCTTAAACTGGTCACTTTTTCCCCTCCCACATATTCTGAGGACCCGCCCCCTCCTCCTTGCCTGTCGTCGGGGTTGACAACTGTATCCAGTGAAAATTTGTACTGGAATCCCGAGCATCCACCTCCCTCCACCTCCAGCCTGAGGAATTCTGACCCTTCGGTGATTTCCAGAAGCCTCTGAAATGCAATAAGAGGAATCAAAAATGTCAAGCCAGCAGTGGTAAAAGGGTAGTAAAGGAGAGTCCCAGAGCTTGGCTGGGCACCGCCGCCCCGCGTCTGGCCGGCCTTCTTACCCGGACGCAGCTGTCTGTAAGGTGGATCTGCCCTTCGCTAGCCTCGGGGCTGGAAGACGACGCCTCCCAACGCGTCTGAAGTCCCTGACAGCATGCGGAGAGCCTGTGGTGCAAGGAAGGAGGATGAGCCGGGGAGCAGAAAGGGTCCCAGGCGACCCCCACCTGAACCATCTCAGGCCAAACCCTCACCTCCCCCGGGGGCTTTAGTTTCTTATTTGTTCTGGAGGCGCAAAACCTGACACCCTTCCAGTCTTGGTACCTGCCCCTCCGCCAGGGAATGACCGCTCTTAGGGCCGTGGCCGTTAGGGACAGGCCCCTGGCGGCCGCCATCTTCCCCCAACAAACTCCGCCCCTCGGTGCGCCCTTCTCCCCTCCTCCTCCTGGAGCTCAGGAGGCGGGAAGGCGGTCGGTGGGCGTGGCCGCAATTAGACCCGCCCCCATCGTGCCTATTAGGTCTTGTAGAAGAAGTTTGATTGGCTAGAAATGCTCCCTAATGCGGAAAAGGGGCCGCACCAGTAGAACCGGGGCGGAGTCCTGAGGAGACTGGCGCTCGGCCCCGCCTCTGAGCGGACAAGATGGGCGGGGACAGCGGGCTGCCTTCTGGCCAGGCTCCTTGGAGCGGGGCGGGGCGCAGGCGGACCGCAGGCGGACCTCAGCAGTGGTTGCTGGTGACAGGTCGCCTGACTGGGCTCCTCCCCGCGCCCGCCCCGACTAGTTTATCTTGTGACCGCGGCAGCCACTTCGTATTTCGAGCTTGGCGCCTCGTTATCCGCGATGGGCTTCCTGGCTGTAGCGATCCTGCTCCTGGCGTTCTTCGCTACCATCCAGGCGGAGCCGGTGCATTACAAGGACTGCGGTGAGACCCTCGCCCGCCAGAGATTCCTGCGTCCTCTGCGCAGCGGCGCCCAAAGCTGAGACCCCGGGGCCGGGTTGGGCGGGTTCCTGGGATGACGAGGCTCAGCCTGGACTCCGGGTGCAGTGGACTGGATTGGGGGAGGAAGTACCGGCCTTGACGAAACTTATCGCATACAACTTTGTATCTTTCCTTTGCAACAACTCGTGTTTGGGGAGGGGGGGGGTCCTTGTACGCTTTTTAGGTGGTCCTCTTGCTGAAGTTCCCTAAAGTTTGCAGGGAAGATATCTGAAGGTCTGATACAACACAGGGGTTGAAGGAAGGGGCGCACTCTCTCTTTCTCTCCCTCTCTTTCTTCCTTTTTTTCTTTTTCTCTCTCCCCCTTCTTTCTTTCCTCCCTCCCTTCCTCTTTCGTTTATTTAGGGGGTACTGGGGATTGAACCCAGAGGCACTTTACCACTGAGCTACATCCCCAGCCCTTTCTATTTTGTATTTTAAAACTAAATCTAGCTGGGTGTGGTGGTGCATGCCTGTAATCCCAGGGGCTTGAGAGGCTGAGGCAGGAGGGTCATGAGTTCAAAGACAGTCTCAGCAATGGTGAGCGCTAAGCAACCCAGTGAGACCCTGTCTCTAAATAAAATACAAAAAGGGCTGGGGATGTGACTCAGTGCTTAAGGGCCCCTGGGTTCAATCCCCCCGCCCGCACAAAAAAAAAAAAAAGAAAGAAAGAAAGAAAGAAACCAAGTCTCACTAAATTGCTTAGGTCCTCACTAAATTGCTTAGGTCCTCGCTAAATTGCTGAGGCTGGCCTCAAACTTGCCATCTTCCTTTCTTTGCCTCCCAAGTCACTGGGATTATTGGCATGCACTACCGCCAGAAAGATCGCAAGTTTCCCTTGGGCTATAGAATTTTGTGATTTTTAATCAGTTTTTCCTCCTATAAAAATCATGTTTCTAATCATATCTTATGACACATTATTCCCTGTTGATGCTGTGGTTGGAATCTTTGTTGGAAAATACAACAGGTATATAGAAATTCTGAGTTCATCAATACATTCTACTGTCATGAATAACTAGAAAGAACAAATTTTTTAAAGAAAAGAAATTCTGAGTTCATTTAGTCAAGTCTATAAAATTAATTGTTGGAGCAGAACTCCAGCAGTTGTATTGAAAGGTGGAGATGGAAAGGTATAATGATCAATGAAAGAGGTCTGAAACTGATTTTGCAAAATATGTGAGCAGGAAGGAAACATGGAGATCACATAGTCAATTGTGAATTCCAGAGATGTTAGGTAACCTACCTAAAGTTATACAGCAGAATGGGAAAACAGGGTAAGTTTGCACCTTTATATCCAGTGCTGGGGTAATAGTAACTGCTTACTAAATATTTGCTGAAAAAGCAAATGAGGTAATATATATTTCCCACTGGGTCATCAAAACTTACGTTGAGGGAAAAGCAAAGTTGGGGACTTGGGAAATAAGAATTAATAAAGGCCTATTAACACTTAGCAAAAGTTAAGCAAAATGTTCCACTGAATTAGAGGACTGGCATTTAAAAGATGCTACTATTGCTTCAAACTACTGCCTTTCCCTGCATTAAACTGAGTGTCCCACATTTGGATGAAGACACTATGTTAATTGTTTGGAGGTACTGGAGATGAACCCAGTGATTCTCTACCATGTGCTACATCCCCAGCTTTTTTTTTTTTTTTTTTTTTTTTTGAGACAGGGTCTCGCTCATTTTTCAGGTTGGCCTGTAACTTTCAGTCCTCCTGTCACAACCTAACAAGTCTCCGGGATTATAGATTTGTGCCACTATACCCTCTGGACTCTATTAATTTTAATTTTAATAATGCATTCGGTCCTCACAGTCTGTTTTACAGAAGAGGAAACTAAGAAACATAGAATAACTTGCTTAAGATTTCACAACTAGGGGCTGGGGATGTGGCTCAAGCGGTAGCACGCTTGCCTGGCATGCGTGCGGCCCGGGATCGATCCTCAGCACCACATACAAACAAAGAAGTTGTGTCTGCCAAAAAACTAAAAAATAAATATTAAAAAAAATTTTTTTTCTCTCTCTCTCTCAAAAAAAAAAGATCTCACAACTAGTAAGCAGTAGGAAACAGGTGGGTCTTTGTGACCCACTTTAGATTTAAATAGTAACATTAAAAAAGAAGTGAAATAAATCTGGAAATTATTCTATTCACTTGGGGAAAAAACAAACAGGTAAACACCTATAGGAAGAACTTCTTAAAGAGAAGTAGGATTCCCATCAAAGCTTTTCAATATACTTTTTTTTCATAATTAATAAGCCAGCTAGCATGATTTTTATTAGTTATGACTAACTTGAACACAAACTGTAATGTGATCAGTGAATTACAATTTAGAAATATTCATATTATTGAATCACTTTAGAAAAATTACACCAAAATATTACAGAAATGTATATTGATTGCTATGTCAGGTTTTTTTTACCTTTTATTTTTTTAATTTTTAATTTGTTTTAATTAGTTATACATGACAGTATAATGCATTTATATACATTGATATATCATACATAGATGGGATATCATTTCTCATTTTTCTGAGTATACATATTATAGAATCACATTGGTCATACAGTCATATACATACATACAGTAAGAATGTCTGTTTCATTTTACTATCTTTCTTAACCCCATATCCCCTGCCTTCTCCTCCCTTCTCAACTTACTTTTGAATTGACAAATATAATGTAAAAACTTCAGCAACCACATCAAAAGATTTTGCATTCCACTTTCCACCCACTTTCCCCTGGGGTGGGATTTCCTCAAGTGAGAAATAGAACTAAGCAAACTTTGGTTTTGTAATGTTTGCAAGTTAGAGCTCAGTTTGTTCTATTGACCCTGGAAGTTCAAGAAGCTCTTGTTCTTGTAAGGGGAAAAAAAATGGATAAAAGAGCTACAAGTACAACTTTTTACTTTGATCCTACTAGATCATGTGACCTCACCTTTAAAGAATCAGGTAGACTATAGACATCGAAAGCCTTAATGTAGGTGCTGAGATCAACAGATTGTTAAAGTTCAGGGATTTTTGTTTATTTTCTGTCTACAGAAGGTGGGATGAAGTGAAAGAGGGTACATCTTATACTATTTAGGGTGCTGAATATGTTCAGTTTAAGAAGTTTACTATAAGTGGGGTATGGTGGTGCTCATCTGTAATCTCAGCGAATGGGAAGGCAAAGGCAGAAGGATCACAAATTTGAGGCCAACTTCAGCAACTTAGCAATGTCCTAACCAACTTAGCCAGAGACTCTGTCTCAAAATTTAAAAAAAAAAAAAAAGGGGGGGGGCTGGGTATGTGGCTCAATGGTAAATTGCCTCTGGGTTCAATTCCTAGTACCCCCCCCCAAAAAAAGAACTTTGCTATAAAGGAGAAGCAAGCTGGGGAATAAGTGTTATTTCCATCCTTGCTGTTGCAGTTGGTCAATATAACTTCATTTTTTTATTTGATTGGAAGAGTCTGCTTTAAAGAGACTCTTCCACCAAGGGCAAGCACAGAGAAAGCGAAGTGCATCCACTTGGGCTTCTCAATTCATGTCCCACTTTTATAGTATTAAGTTAATTTGGTGACTGCAATTTGCCTGCTGTTTTCATGCATTCTGCTTTTAAGACAGTAAGACTCCATTCTATTGACTACAAACATAATTTCTGTCCATGAAGTGTATTTGAGGTTGGAGGCTCAGCTTTGGTGTCAAACTAAGCCATCAAGGAATAGCTATTTAGATTAAATTAAGGGATCGAATCCAAATATGATAAGCATAATAAAGACTTAAATGGCACTACAGTGTTCCAGATACTCATCTAAAAGCTGCATGTGTGTTAACTCACCTACCCTCTAAGGCAGATATGATTATTATCTTCAGATGTTAACTGTATTGCCCTAAAGTTACAGTGATGGAACTGGTGAGATTTCATACCCGAGCAGCAGGCTCCAGAATCTGCCTCTCAGCAATGATGGCTAAATGGCAACACTTGACTTAAACTGTTACTGTTAACCAGACTCCTTACTCAACATTCTCTTCCATTCAACTATCCAGTTTCAGGGGCCTAGATAGGGAAATGGGATTGTTTTTCAAAACTTGTACTTAACTGGTGCAGGTGGTTGTACACACCTGTAATCCCAGTGGCTTTTGGAAGGCTGAGGCAGGAGAATTACAAGTCCAAAGCCAGTCTCAGCAAATTAACAAGGCCCTAAATAACTTGGGGAGAACCCATCTCTAAATAAAATATAAAAAAGGGCTGAGGATGTTGTTCAGCATTTAAGCACCCCTTGGTTTAATCCCCAGTAAACCCTCCCCCCACAAAAAAAGACAAACATTTGTGTGTGTGTGTGTGTGTGTGTGTGTGTGTGTGTGTGAAGCATTTATTATGTACAAAGAACACAGTTGTCCTTGATTAGAATGAGATTAAAAGAAAGAAAAAAAAAAAGACACACTCCTTGCCTCAGGGACCCTTTAGGGACCACTGATTTAGAAAGACACCAGAGCATAACTAAAAGATGATGGGAGGATTAGGGACAAAATGGGAGCAGCTGGTATCGGGATTGCAAATGGAAATAGTAGTACTACAACTTAAGTCATCCCTGGTGGCCCTTGTGTGCTGCTTTACAGACCTGTTTTAAGATGGAAGGAGTTTCCTGATACCGCCACCCCAGGATCTAAAGTGGGAGCTGGAGGGCTTGCTTACTCTATATACTACATAATTTGCTTCTATTAAATGGGAACAGTTTGTAACTCCTTTTAGGGAGAGTTAGTTCATTATAGAGAACATTAGCTATTCCTTAGTATCTTATTCTCTTCTTTTAGCTAACTCCTTTTAAACCTAATTTGTGAATCATTAATCAATTTTTGAAACTGCATAATCAATTTTTGAAACTGGCAGGTCAGATTAATTCTATTGATGACTCTTCCTCGCATCTTCCTGCACTGCCTTATTTTTAAAACATATATAGTGTTTGTAAGCATATCATTTAGTTATATAGACATAGGCCAAGTAAGTACTTTGAAGGAAAGGAAACCTAGACTCTGTGTTCTTGTTTAACACAACTGATATTTCTGCCAACTTGACTGTGTGAAACAGCCCTATCTGGAGTGAAGTTAAATTTGGGTCCTAAGTTTTATTGGAGCTATAAAAACCTTGACCTCTGTCCTCTTTATCTCTTTGATTCTTGGGGGAAAAAAAAAATCAAGGTCCTAATGACTTAGTCAAGATTTGAGGCACTGCCTATTATTTTTGAGCCAAAATATCTCATGACTTATAGAGCAGGACTCAGGTTTCTTCCCCATGGAAGACAAGAGAATCCAAAACTATGGAAAGAGTGCAGTTCACAGTTCAGAAATGGAAATAGCTTCTCAAGAGTCATTTCCTCTCAAGATGGAAGGTAATTCTATCTAGGGTCATTCCTCTTTGCAGGGTTGAGATGGTCATTCTTCTTAAATTTCTTAGCCCACTTGCAAGTGGGTGGGCTTCAGGATCAAATTTAAAAAGCCAAGACTGGACATTCTGACACATTTCATTGTTTTACTCATACCTTTAGTAGTAATGCTTTGTTTCTTTAGGAAGCCAGGCTGAGGTGAAAAAAAAATGAAGAGATTTCAAGAAGATAGGATACTAGGTTTACCAAATGGTTCACCGGAAGTTTAAGGAAAGGCTATAAAATCTGGACAGAAGTTTCTTCATCAATGAAAATCACAAAGGATATGGGGTTGAACCTCTAAGACAAAAAGAGAATAATCATGAGGTGAAGGAAACCTAACAAGCTTTTTTTGGTTGAGTTTGAGCCAGGATCTTCATCCAGGTTCCTCAGAGAGTTCTCAGTCAGGAATTCCTTAGGGTATCCTTTCATTTGTCACTGTGGCTGTGTATGTAAACCTTCTTCCAGGTTCCAGTGACAGGGCTTCCAAGTCTTGGACTTGACCATTCTAGGCAGTATGACCTTGGAGAAGTCACAGTAATCCTTCTGCTCTTCTGTTTTCTAACCTCTAAAACAAGGATGGTAAAGTCATTGTGCTGTTATTTTTATTTTTTTCCTTATCCTCAGGGGCCTCAGCTTTCTCTCGTTCTTGCCACCCATGGTATAATCTTTATTCTAAACATAGAATGACTCAGGAGCTAAGAACCCCTAGAGCCTGGAACTCTAAAGAGGTTCTATCTGTTCTGAGTTCTGGCAGACTTCCCAACAAATAATAAGCACCTTAAAACAGAATTTGCTCTTGAAGAATTTGGGGTAGAAAGATGATATAACTTTTTTATTTGTTTTGCAGTACCGAGGGGTGAAGATAGGGGCACTCTACCTCTGAGCTTCATCCCTAGCCCTTTTTTTAAATTTTGAGACAGGGCCTCACTAAGTTGCTGAGACTGGCCTCAAACTTATGATCATCCTGCCTCAGCCTCCCAAGTAACTGGGATTACAGGCACATGCTACCACACTGGCTGATGTGACTCATTTCTGAGCTTTCTCCTTGGAGGAAAAACAACCTTTTAGCTATTTTTACATAAGGTGCAGGTTTTGAACAACTTTCATCAAATTTACATACTTACATCTTTGCTAGAAAGGTGAAACAGGAATATTTTGATTAAAGGAAGATTGGGGCAACTTTTTTTTTTTTTTTTTTTTTTTGGTACTGGGGATTGAACCCAGAGGTATTCTACTACTGAGCTACATCTCCAGCCCTTTTTTAATTTATATTTGAGATGGGAACTTGATAAGTTGTCCAGATTGGCCTTAAATTTTAATCTTCCTGTGAGGCAAACATTTTCAAGGCTTAAGTTTAAATTATGAACCCCCCCCCTTACCATTTGGAATGCAAAATAAGAATCTGGAAGCATTTGGAGTTTTTTTGGTTGTAGTTTAATCTCTTTAATATAATCTTTTGTGTGCATGGTTTCTAACAAATATTATCTTTCTCTTTGTCAAGAGACCAACTGACTTCCTTTTTGTCCAATTTATAGGATATGATTTTAGCAGCAAGACAAACCAAATTCTCATTTTTAATTGAAAGAGTCCATACCAAGAAAGCATCAAAAAAGAACAGGCACTCACTAAACGGGAGAGAGCGACCTTTCCGTTAGGTAGTGGTCAATATTTCCACCTATTTCAATTTGTTTTTTCTTTTTTCCCAGGTTCTAGAGTTGGAGTTATAAAAGAGGTAAATGTGAACCCATGCCCCAACCAGCCCTGTGAACTGAAGAAAGGACAGTCCTACAGTGTCAATGTCACCTTCACTAGCAGTGAGTAAACATGGTTTGACCTTAAATTTATGCTAAAGCATAGCATAAACATCAGGTATTAGAATCAACATGGGAACATAGGGGTGGAGGGTTGGCAGTCAGGAATTCTGTGACCTCCCTTCCAGTTTGTGCAAAGCTGGATTCACTATTCCCTTAGACACCCTTCTTGTACCAACTTCCCATATGCCCCTTTCTAAGAGTCCTTGGCTCCCAGACTCCCTCTAAGCATGGAGGGTGATTTTCCTGTGTTCACAGGTTAGAAAAGACAGCATGACTTTTCTCTCTCCTACCTTGGCCCATATTACACAGCAGGATTTTATGGGAACAGATCTGGCTACAGACTGTAACTTTAGTGCAGATTCCAATTCTGTAAACTTTGTAACTTCCCCAGAATGTTATTTCAAGCACCCTACCTTTCAGCCATTAAGCCTGCAACCATCTGAAAATGAAGGTACAATTAATACTTAGTAACCTCTGTAAGGTTTAGAGAATCCTCTGGGACACACAAACCACTTCTGAGCCGTCTTCTTCAATGTGAAGAAGCAGTATTGGGTTGTTGTCATGTACCATGTTCATCACCTTCAGATTGCCAGAAAGAAGAAATGTAAAATATTTATTTCTGGGTAGAGTATCTACCTTGAATCTGTCTCTCATTTCTGTGCCATGGAACTTGACTAGACAGTCAATAAGAAAATTCAAAGTGCCTGTCATGTCCTTTCCATGAGCCTACAGACTGCTCTAACTGTAAGCTCCCTGTTCTCTCTCTTGCACTGTACCATGGCCCCTCAATTATTAATAAATAAAAAAGTCAGGTGCAATGGTGCATATCTATAATCCCAGAGGCTCAGGAGGAAGGAAGATTACAAGTTCAAAGCCAGCCTTGGCAATTTAGCAAGGCCCTAAGCAACTCAGTGAGACCCTATCTCTAAATAAAATACAGAAAGGGCTGGGATGTGACTCAGTAGTTAAGTACTCCTGGGTTTAACCCAAAAATAAAGAAATAAAAGAAATGCCTTCTAAACATAAGTCATCCCAAAATATAAAAATAAAATATAAAAATATAAATATAAAAAATATAAAATAATATAAATATAAAAAATATAAATATAAATATAAAAAATATAAATATAAATATAAAATATATATATATATAAATATAAAAAATAAAAATATAAATATAAAAAATATAAAAATAAACATAAGTCATCTCCAAAATACCTATCAGCTCATGACTCTGATTAACTTCATAATACCTTTATTCCTTCTGCCCATTCTATCATATGGAGGGTAGAGGCTACCAAGAAATGTAGCCTAATCTTTTTAATCTTACCTAATATCTAAAAAGTTAATGATTTCATGTTGTAACAGATCATGGTATTAATATATATTTATATACAATATACTTTTACAGAAACTCATGTAACTAGTAATTACTAAAATTTACTGCCGAAAAGTAGTTGCCTTCTCAGGTAAGCTTATTTGTCCAGGTAGCTCTGTTCTCCTGAGAAACTAAGAAAGGCAGTGGAGAGCAAGGTGGGGTTAGGAGAGAGAAAACAGCTCCTGTTGCCTGGCAGTCTGTGCATCCCTGCAATCCCAGCTTCTCAAGAGCCTGAAGCCGGAGGATCACAAGTTCAGGGCCAGCCTGGGCAGCTTAGCAAGACTCTCCATAAAATGAGAAGTTTAAGGGGCTGGGTTTGTAGCTCAGTGGTAAATAAATAAATATATATTTTTTTTAAAAGAAAAGTTTAAAAGTGTGGGGGGCGGGGGGAGCAGGGATAAAGCTCAGTGGTAGAGTGCTTACTTAATATACAAGAGACCTGGGTTCAATTCCTGGTCTCCCACTGCCAAAAAAAAAAGCAGCCCCTGTTGATTGATTGCATGGTGCTAGGTACTGAGCATCACTGCGAGGAGAAGTAGACCCTGGGTATTATGAAATGTGGACCTGCTGATTTGCTTGAGAACCTATCTGAAGATTTGATTTAGAGTTTTTAGATAGGCTATTTTCTTCACCTTCTGATTCTTTTTCCTCGTAGATACAGAATCTGAAAATAGCACAGCCTTCGTGGAAGGCATCCTGATGGGTGTGCCAGTCCCCTTTCCCATTCCTGAGTCTGATGGTTGTAAGAGTGGAATCAACTGCCCCATCCAAAAAGACAAGACCTATAGCTACATGAATAAACTGCCAGTAAAGACTGAATACCCCTCTGTAAGTGACACTGTTGAGGACTCTGGGGACCTTGGGATAGGATTAGAAACCTGAGGACAGGGGACTAGAAATCAAAGACTGGGGAACAGGGCACCTCATCTCTATGATGAAGAAGCAGGAGACTTAAGGGAGAGGAGAAAGATTTGAAGTTAGAATCATGAAGAAGGGCAGATATTTTTATGTGCCTTTGTTCTTTCACTGGACCTAATGACATCATTTTTACATATAGTGTTTCACTTGATATCATGAACAACCTGTGTGGAGGTGATATCAGCTCTGTCTCAGAGACAAAGAAGTCTGAGCCTTTGATGTTATATAGTTAGTGGCTATAAGAATAGCCTAAGTTTAAAGCTGAGTCTTGTAACTCCCAAGCCTGGGCAATGTTAAAACATTTCAACGAGGTACCAGATAGTTCAAGGTCCAAGTTGACTTAGCATTGTCATCAGAAAACCCTGATTTTTCCTTCAATCTCTTAACAAGAGAACAATACAGTTTGTTAGCTCGATAGCAGAGAGGTAACTTATTGCACCATCTCTTCTTACCTCTACCTATACCTCTGACCCATCCCTGCTTACCTATGTTTTCTGCCAAGCACTTCTGAGTAGATGGTGCCGGGGTGAGCCTGTTTAAAGGTATGACTCGTAACTGGGTGGTGGTGCACAATTGTAATCCCAGTGACTCGGGAGGCTGAGTCAGGAGGGATCACAAATTCAAGGCCAGCCTAGGCAACTTAGCAAGACTCTGTCTCAAAATAAAAAATAACAAGGACTGGAGATGTAGTTCAGTGGTAGAGTGCCCCTGGGTTCAACCCACAATATATAAAGAGATTCACATATAGGGAATCTATGCTTAAGGGATGTTAGCAACCCTGAAGGTCAGAGACAGGTTTGTAAAATAGCAGAGTAGGCCATGTGATCCTGGGACCTTCCAAACCCCAGTTATGTACAGTGTCTAGTCAGGGCTGCATGCAGGGTAGGTATTTAACATTTGATAGTCACTTAATTTAAGTCACTCTTAAATGAATTACATTTAATTTGAAAATTAGCTCAAACTGCATTAGTCAATACTAAGTAAGTGAAGCAGTAGTTCATGCATATAGTCATAAAAAACTTACAAAGCAAGTTTCCAAAAGCTTTTATCCTTGTCAATCAAATATTGCATGGTGAAGAAACCTTTGAGTACAAAAGAGAGGTAGTAACTAATGACAGGTGAGCTGATGTCTACATAAGAAAGGACCTGCAGGTGTCAGTGAGTTAAGAATTAGAAGAAACAGGGCTGGGAGTGTGGCTCAGGGGTTGAGTACCCTGAGTTCCATTCCTGGCACCAAAATAAAAAGTCTTTGGGCCATCTTTTGTGCTTTGACATTTATATTTATGGTTAACAAGAAAGTTGCCTTATACCTAAGAATCTTTCTGTTCTTTAACATTACTATTGGAGGGTGGGGTTGTGGCTCAGTGGTAGAGTGCTTACCTAGCACATGTGAGGCACTGGGTTGGATCCTCAGCACCACATAAAAATAAATAAATAAAATAAAGGTATTGTCCATCTACAACCAAAAAAAAAAAAAAAAAAAAATACTATTGGAGAAGGTTAGATTAGACTGCCAAATATTAAATGTAAAATTATTATTCCCAGAAGGATTTATGTAAATGCCATTGATCTAAGAGGGACAAGAATGCTTTAGAAATTATATTTGATAGATTGACTTTTAGAATGGCTATTGCTAACACCAAATCATAGGCATAACTTGGTTCATTCCTCTAAGTTTAAGCCAGAGTTGGTGCCCATTTCCTAAGTGGGCTTCCTAATGGCATGATTTAAGAAGAAAACTATGAGGAATTAGGTGATTGATTTTTATAATTTCTATTTAGGCTACATAATTAAGCCACTTATGGATTAAGGTCAAGTCCTCATTTCATTTTTCCCAATTCATTTTCTCTTTTTCCAGATAAAACTGGTAGTAAAGTGGGAACTTGTGGATGACAGTCGCCAATCTTTCTTCTGCTGGGAAATCCCAATACAAATCAAAAGCTAGAGCTATTTGATGCTGATTTGTCTATGTGGAGGTGAGAGGGCATGGATGGAAGGAGGGGAAGAAATGGGGAAGAAATCCAACCTGAAACTGCATGAGTGTCATAAGATGAAAGGAAATTCATCATGAAAGGAAATTATGCCTCTCAACTTCCAAAAGCATCTGAGGCCCTGTTTCTTGAGAGCTTAGAACTGGTACCTTTGTAATATCCTTTGTAAAAAGGTGGAAGGAAAGAAGAGAAAGTGAAGTGAAACTGTAGGGCTTGGTTCAACTGTCTCCATTGTTTTTTGCTGTTGGAATAAGGTGGGCCCAACCTGACAGAACAAAGGAAGTTGCTTAGGGCTATCAGATACCTTCCCTAGGGCTACTGGGCTTCCTAACCACTTCTGTCTAACTGGGATGTTACATCTACAGGTTCCTCCTCTGTAAGTGCCTCACTGAGTCTGGTGCATCTGAACAAGAAATCTGCTGGCTCTGAACAGCACCTCCACCTCCATTGCCTCAACAGTAGTGATCTGTTCTCTACTGATATCCAGAGATTCATAGGAGATGTCATGTTCTACAGCAGGAAGTCAGCTGTGGATAACTGGTTCTCTGTGGTTATCTCATGTCTTTTGTTCTGTCTTAGGTGGTTTTCGTTAAAAGCAACAGTTGGTTACCAGATGTTTCTTTCTTTCTTTCTTTCTTTTTTTTTTAACAATATTAACTTGTATCCTCTTTCTGAACCTGGAAATGAACCTTCGTATAAATAAAAACTTGTCAGTCTTGTCTTCTGCATTTGGGCGGTGGTCATGTGCTTCTTACACATAGTGCATTCCCCAGACCCGTGGGAGGTGGGTACCCAGTTCCATGTCCCTGAGAGACTCTCTTTCCTCCTTTTTGCCCAGTTAGACCTCATCTATCTTTTGATACAAAGTGACCTTGTTTCACTTTATTTTGCACTTTATTTTGCACATACAGAGTATGCTTGATAGAAACAGTGAAAGCAAACATCACCTAGTTGAATAATAACACCTGAAAGGGTGAGGCATGGTGATCTTTTGGGAACCATCCACCATGATGGAGAAAGCCTCAGAGCTTACAAATAAAATGTGAAGTTGAAGTAGGTACTGGTTAAATTAGCTAAAGTTTGGAGTTTTCTGCTCTCTAGGTAAAAAGTATAATTATGGGGTACACAGTTTGCCATTTCAAGTCCACATACTGTGAGCTTTTAGGTGGGACTGGGGTTATCACAATATTCATAACTGAGTTGAATAATGAGCACCTTGGAAAATCATCCACTGTTAAATAAAAGTAACTCTTTTCTCAGTTGAGTTCTGACAAAATGTTTATGAGCAGATAATTCATTTTGGTCCAGTTCTTATTATGCCTATAAGTTCCATAGACCCTTGAATTTCTTTGGCCTGTGAGTTTCCCAGTATAAACCACCAGGGGACAGCAATGGGTCAGGAACAAAGTTATCAACACCCAAGTTTGCTAGTTAATGCTGGCAGCCTTTCGACCACAGTACCATTTAAGCCATCTTTCATATATCCTATCCCACTGAGTCTAGAGGAATAGCCCACCTTGTCTCCCAATGCAGACCCTAAACGTATCAGAATTGTGTGAATCCCAAAGGTGGTTAAGTGCTGTGGTCTCTGGCTTCAAACTGCCTATAGTTGAATCTGGCTCCACCATTTAATTCATAGGACTACAAATGAGAGCTTTCAATCCCTTCATCTCTCTGTGTTTCAGTTTCCTTCTCTGTTAAGTAGGGATAATGATAGGAGGGGAGGGCTGAGAGGATTAAATGAAATGAGGCATGTGAAACGTTTAGATGACCCATGGCATGTATTATACTTGTTGTCAAAGTTAGCTTTTGTTGTAGGAGACAGACACTGTTCTTTGTCTGGAAATAGCAGGAAAATCAGGAGGTTCAGTCTGATGTGTGTGATGTCTCCTTAGGAGCGAGGCTAGCTTCTGTGCACAGGAACTTCCTCGGGGACTCAGAAAAACGCAGTTTTTATACATGTTTGCTGACTCCCTATTCCCAGAAGATTCCTCATGCTTTTTAGCTCCTTTGAGGTTAACAGCTACCTGCCCTCGTGTGTTTTAAAAAAAGGACAAAAGCAGCTCAGCTAGTATAATACACTCTTCCCTGAGAAGGGGAACCCAACAGCTGGGTCTATTTACCCATCAGCCATCAGGAGGCTCTGCAGATCCTGCAACTGTGGGTTAGGTTGGCTCCTGTGGGGGGATTAGTTTGAAAGGTCTCCTACAACAGAAAGTTCACAGTGGTTAACACTGGGAAGCACTGAATCTTAAGTATACAAAGAAAAAATGAGAAGCACCTCTGCTTATAGAATAAAGGGAACACACAATGTAACACCTCAGATCCCCAGTTTGGGAGAAGGTCAAATGTGAGTGCTGGTATCTAGCCCAATCTTCATGCTAGTAAAAGCAACAAGCATGGAATCATTTCCAATGCTGCATACTTGGTTTTGAAATGGCAGTTGGTTTTTCTTTTGTCCTTTCCTTTTTTTTTTTTTTTTTTTTTAAGAAACAGTCTTATGATTATGCTTTGCAAAGGTGATAAAACAGACTGGTCTCAAAAAACACCCGCAGGCATAGGAAAGGTGACCTGAAATAGTTCCACTTAAAATGATGTTGGATTAACCATTCACTGCAGATAATCCAAAAAGCAAAGAATGCTTCAAGGACTATGTTGGTATGAGGACAGTCATGGCACATAGAAGAGTGCTGGCACGGGGAGTTGGGTGTACAAAAGTCATCGAGGTGAGAGTTACATTCAACAAATGCATTTACCAAGGGCTTTCTCGGAAGCAGACAACCAGGAATAGAGGTCAGGGTGTGCCTTACTCAAAGGCCTGGGATACTCAGTTGAGTTGTTTGCTGGGAATGTTGACTAGAGGACAGTGTTGTGTGACCCAATGTAGAAAGTGGCTCTGGATCTCCACCGATGTTGCCTAAAAGTCTTTAGAGGAGTTGGGCCATTTTAGGTGGCTATCTTTTTCTCTGGAGAGAATATCCCGGCCTGTCTTTCAGTTTCTAAACTGAATCCGATTCGCTTATAGCTGTCAATTGACTAGCAACTAAATGGTCTGGGTGTTGGTTTCCATGGAAACAGCTAAAAGGCCCATTGCTATGGGAACCTACCATGTTCTCCAGATCAGGGGTTTGGTTGCTAGAAAAGGGTAGTGGGAGGAGGGAGTCCAGGAACTGGGTTGCATAGATGGCTTAAGGATCCCAGAAGAGGGTGAGCAATGTGTGTGAGCAGGTCTGGCCACCTCCTAGAGTGTCCTCTTCTACTTTCTGCAGGCATTCCCTGTCTGTCCTCTGCTCATTCCCCCATGGCGACCACTGAGTACAGATGCTTGTTGTTCCAAATGGACAGTAAGAGCATGCGATTCTGGAGCAGATTTGGCATATTGATGCTGTCACACTCATCTGCAGGGGCTCTGAGAGGGAAAGTCCTGGCTCCTTCTGTCAGTCCCCTCTCCACAAATCATGTGTCCCAGATAAGCAGCCAGCAGGTGAAAGGATTAGCTTAGCTCTGACTGCCAGCGGGTCAGACCAATAACTTGGCAGACCAAATGGATGGCTGCTGGCCTTGAACATGGCAGATACTGGGTGTACCAGATCCCAAAGCAGAAGGACAGGTCAGCAGCAGCAGTTCTCTGTATCAGAGAAATGCATTATTTTGCTCTCTACACCCCTACCTACCCTCATGCTCACCCACCAAAGGGAGCCCTGCAGACAGATTCAAATATAAAAAGTGAGGCTTGATGGAGATTCTCAAAGTACCTGCACAATGGTCAGAAGATTCTTTTTGTGTTTTAAGGGAAATAACTCTTAAGTCAGTGTTCAGTGGCAAGATGCTTCTTTCCTGAAACAAAGAGAAAACATCCTCGAAGCTCTGCCATTAACCATTGTAAATGTGTAAAGCATAGATTGAAGGGACTGGCCTGTGTCATCTCCAGGGCCTCTGTCAGGATTAAAGCTTATGATCACTGAGACACTGAAGGGAAGCTTGAGCACCACAGGCAAGTGGACACAGACTAATCTCTTTTTAGTCCCCATACCTGTGAGGGTGAGGACAATCCCTGGAGTCCAGATGGGCTCAGGACCAAGGCTAAGGCCAAAACTTTTGATTTAGAGATCATCTCAGATATGATCTGGGTGTTGGTTTCCAAGGAACTTTCCCCTGAGTCTCCAGAGCTCTAAGATCGGTGGTGTTTCCTCTCCCAGTCTTGCCTGCTCCTGCCTGGAATTTTTGTTTGTTTTGTTTTTTATTTTTGTTTTGTTTGGTCCTGGGGGTTGAACCCAGAGGTACTCTACCACTGGGCTACATTGCCAGCCCTTACTATTTTTTTTTTTTTTTGAGATGGAATCTTGCTAAATGGCCCAGTTTGGTTTCAAATTTTCTATCCTCCTGCTTCAGCCTCCCAGGAGTTGGGATAACAGGTGTGTGCCACCATGCTCTGCTGGACTTTATTGATCTTGGCCCCTCCCAAGGAGTTGTAGAGCCTAGGAACCCAACACCAGAGAGAGAAGCCACCAGGATTTGGACTGCGCCACAGGACAGTGTGTAGTGGCAAGATGCTTCTTTCCTGAAACAAAGAGAAAACATCCTAGAATCTTTGGGGAGGGTTTTTCACTTTGGGAGACAGCTGTTAATTATAGATTTTAGTTGGGTTTGCATCTCATCTCTAACTTTCTCTGGCTGCTTGACTTTGGGGTAAGTTTGTTAACCTCTTAAGGGCCGAATTTCCTCTGCTATAAAACAGAATGATAAGAATACCCACCACTAGGGGCTGGGGATGTGGCTCAAGCGGTAGCGCGCTCGCCTGGCATGCGTGCGGCCCGGGTTCGATCCTCAGCACCACATACCAACAAAGATGTTGTGTCCACCGAAAACTGGAAAATAAATATTAAAAAAAAAAAAAAGAAAAGAATACCCACCTCTAGTGATAACATGAAGTGATAAGTACCCGAGAAAGGTCATTAGTATTATTATTATCATTGTCCTAGATAAGGAAGGAAGGTTGCAGCCATGGAAACTGCTGTGGCCTAGAATCATAGGCATTCGTCATGCATTAGTCTTCCAAATTTAATTCCAGGCACCTTTCAAGATAGATGGCCTCCCCAGTGCCCCACTCTGCTTTGCCTTCATTAAGCCAGAGTCTAATCCTCTCTTTATGACACTTAACCACATTCTTTTTCATGTCCAATTTTTGTGTGTCAGCTTACCTTCCGACTAGACTGTAAACATCTTGAGAATAGAGACTGCCCTTTCATCTTCAAGTAAATGCCTAGAACTTAGCACTCAGCAATTATTTCATGAATTTTTTTAGTAGAGAAAAAAATGTTCTTTTTATTTAAGTTTCCAATCTGACCATTTAACCCTCTAGCAGCCTTGTCTCCAAAGGGAAGGAAAGTAGCGGTAAACTTGGTGTCATTCCTCTGAAAAATGGCACCGGAGTGCCCTATCCTGGATTAGCTCTGGAGCAGGACAGGCTCACATCTCCTAGAAGCCAGCTGTCATCTGTGACTAGGACTCACTGACAAGGCTACCTTGTCTCCAGCCTGAGGCTTCCTGGCCTCCCCTCTGGCCTCGATTGCTGCTCTCTGGGTCACAGTGATGATTCTTAGCCGCAAATTGTATCAGATTGCCTCTGGGAAGAGGAAGCAGATCTGGTTTACGCAACTCTCTCCCCTTGGGTACACTGGATGTCTGCAGCCCTGGAGACCCTCAGCTCCCCA